CACATCCAGCCAGCAATAGTCAGAGAAACAGGACTACACTGAAAAACAGGCTGATCTCGAACATCTATAAACAAAGGTGTTGATGGCAGCAGCACAGCTGATGTTTCTCTCCAGGATGGAGTCACAGCCAAACAGGAACAGACCAGATGAATCTACTATAAGAAAAAGCAGAGAGAGCAGAACGTTAGAGATTATGAATGAACTAACAGATTCTGCAGAAAATACTAAAGTCTTTAGATAGATTATGACTTGCATAAAGATCATTACATGCTTAAACTGTTTCACACTTAATTCTTACATTGACTGTAAATATGCACAAAGTAAAATTCTGGTTCTCCTATTTTTTCCCATTTTGAAGGATGGCTGTCATGTGTCACCAGTTCATCACGCATGTGTCATCAGTTAGACCAGGGGTGCTCAAGTCCACCCTTCAAGAGCTACTATCTTGCAACTTCTTGATGTGCTCCATTTTTAACACACCTGGATCAAATGAAAGGCCTGTTACCATACATCTGCTGAGCTAAATGAGGGGATTGGGCCTTTAGATGCAGGTGTGTTAGAGCAGCGGTCCCCAACCTTTTTTGCACCATGGACCGCTTTAAGTCAGACAATATTTTCACGGACCGGGGGGGCGGGGGGTGGGTGGTTCTTGGATGCGGACCGTTTTTTACTTGATCGTATTTACCCCCGGCCCCGTGCGGACCAGCCGGGCGGGGGCTAAATACAATCAAGTAAAATGATACGACTGGCATAAAATCAAATACAAACAGCATAAAAATAAAACAAGCCGGTCCTATCGAGGCGTAATCGGAGACAATGACACATGAAGTGTGCTCCTGATGTCCAGTCTGCTTCATAGCTTTGTTTTGGTTGTCAATAAATTATATATATATATATATATATATATACTTTTTTCTGTGCGGCCCGGTACCAAATGACCAACGGACCGGTACCGGTCCGCGGCCCGGTGGTTGGGGACCGCTGTGTTAGAGAACAGATGCCTCTAAAGGTTACAAGATGGTATTGTCACTCTTGAGGACTGGACTTGAGCACCCCTGAGTGAAGCTGAACGACACAGATTATCAATGAAAGGAGAATAATCAATGTCAAAGAATAAGATATAAGCTAAAATTGTGCTTTAGATTTTTTCAATTTTGCAGGAAATATGAGAGGCACCAATGATTTTAGCTCTTGGGAACTTTAGAGGATTCATAACTATTTATTAATAGTTATTAAAATCTTCACATTTAAACTTTTGCAAAGCTTCAGATTTTCAAATGAAAATGTATTCATTTATATTTAAAGGGATAGTTCGGTATTTTTGACATGAATCTGTATGGCATCCCCATCACCAGTGGCATGCAATCACACTGACTAATTTTTTTTTCTTCTCCCAGCTGAGTAAATGCACCAAAACTAAAGTTTGAGAGATTATAAAATTGGAATAGATTGAGCTTAAGTTTTGTTATTCATCTAGAACCACATATGTGGGAGTGTGGTACGTATTTTAGATATTGGTCGAACTACAATAAACTGCACAATTTACATGTTTTGAATAACAACCACTTTAGAAACTCTACTTTCAGAAAATCCACATTTTTACTTCAGTGTGTTAGTTCTCAAACTCTGCACTCATGCAAATTGAAAATCTGTTTTTGTGCCGTTATTTTGGCAGCACTTCCATGTACATTCATGAAGAAAAGAGTTAAATGAGAAAGAATGACATTTGCTCTGTGATTTTAGTTAAACCCCAAATTATTCCAACCCCTGCCAAATTCAGATGTAAAATTTTCATTCAACCAAAATAGCTATATTTAATGTGAAATGTGACAGGTGTATCTATTGATAAGGAAATATTATTAAGATATATCAGTTTTAGATTATCCGATATTTTCATGTTGTTAGAAATTAAATATTAAAAAGTATTAATCGGTTATAAAAATGTTATGAAAATGTGTTAGTTTTAAAGCAGGACTGAACTCTTCTCTTAATTGCTGAACAATTTTTTACATTTTATTTACATAGTATTTTTCAGCTCTTAAAGGTATAGTGGAGGATTTTCACATATTTTTGAAAAAAAAAATGCACATGCACAACCTTGTACCTGCTCCCGAGAGGGAACGTGTATTAAGTGCGTGCAAGAGCGTCCACAAGCCCATTTCTCCTTTTAAAAGTTGCTATTTGCATCGCTCATACAAGCTTACTTTCCAAAAGAAGATTTGAAGATTTCACGATGTCAGACTCACTACCAGTAAGTGAAAATGGGGACGAGCACGTAGGACGGCCTTACGTAAACATATCACCAGAATGATTGACAATTATAAGGACCACTTATTTTGATGATCCACCCGCATAAGAACATCCTCTATTATACCTTTAAGGTTAAAGGTCTAATCGGCATCACCATAATCTTCTCACTCCCTGCAGAGCTTCTCTATCAGCTTAAAGTCTGGACTCTGGTTGGGAAGTGTCAACTGCTAAAGGTACAAAGTCATGGTACAGATGTTAAAGAATTCCTCTGCAGAAACTAATAAGCCAACATGAAATACACTAAAAATTACTTTTTAAATTTAAATGAATACCTTTTTATTTGAAAATCTGAAGCTTTGCAAAAGTTTAAGTGTGAAGAAAGAAAGATATTCTCTCTTATATTTTCTTAAAACATGCATCGCTTTCATTTCTTGTTGTTTTGTATTCCAACTGCATTGCTTTAAATAATCTCTATCATAAACTTTATGAAAACATACATTTTAACTAAGCAGCCCTTAGTGATAGACAGCTTATTGGATCTTATATATACTTTGCAATAAAAGTCATGCTGTATTTAATTGCAGCCAAATCAAATAACTGGAAGGTTTAGTTTCAGTTTGCAGACAGACAGAGTGGTGGAATCGTATCCCTTCTGGCTCCGTGAAATTGATTAGGGTGATACATGTTTATGAAGGAAAACACTCATAAACACCAAATCTGCCGAGAAAATACATCAAGATTATGGGGGTTTACTGTAAATCGCTGCTCATATAAAACTCACTCTCAGAGTTTGTTTAGACTGGGGTATGTCATGGGATTATTGTGTTATGAGCTGCATCCTGTTAGTGTTGCACACCTTGATTTAAAAGATGCTTAGTGTGAAATAATTGTGTTAAAAATGCTTTTTTCTTGGCATATTCAACATTTTCCCTCTGGATAAGAAGAAGGTATTTTGCAGAGGTGTTATGCTGCAGGCGTATCTTATTGTTTGTCATCTCAAACAGAGCCATACTGGTAGAGCTGGTTCCCTGCTTCAAGCACAACACCCGGTGCATTGTCACAAATCAGTCAATCTTCTCTTTTAAGCAACTTCTAACGATTCTGGTCCTATAACAACAGCCAATGCATTGTGCATCAAATGTTTTTTTTAGATATCCCGGAACATCAGTGGCTCTTTTGTCTTGGCAGGACTCATATCAGGCTATTGTCCCACTTTTGGAGATACTTTACCTCTCCTGAGACTGACCTTTTATAAACATTCTACCTTATCTTTGCTCATACTTCTCATAAAGTCCCATTCCTCACAGTGTATCACAATGCACAGGAAGGTAGATGTTTGCCAGGCATCCACAACCCTGGACAGTTCCTTTGAAGAAAACAAAGGACCCAGGAAATATGTTAGAATCAAAGTAACTGCAAAGTGAGAAATGCACATGTTGTTCTTTTAGAGAAACACTGAACCTTCACACCTTTTAAAGGGAAAAGGGGGATCTTGCAGAATTACAGTCAAATAAAGGCTCCAAACAATTCCTTGTTCTCTGATGGAGCCGGGAGTTTAATATAGGAGTGATTCAGAGAAATGAAACTCATAAGAAAAGGTCAGAGAGCCTCTTGGCTTTTGCGGTTGTAGAGAGTTTGCTTTTCTCCGCTGCCTGACAATTCTGCTGTTACTGTAGTGCTTTGTTCTTGGGGAGAATAAAAAGAGCATGATAGCTATTGACTTTTTGTAGCTGGACCTAAGAGACATAAACAACGGTGTTGTAATCCTGGCACTCATGGCTATATGGGAAATTGGAAAGAAGGGGGAAAAACTATAGGAGTTAAAGTGCTTTTTCTTCTTTACATTAATGAGGTCTTACTATTTTTTTATTTGGTGTCTAGTCCAGTATTGGTTCTTGCAATAATGCAAGCTTAGCTATCCATACATTCACAGTTCATATAATGTCCAGCTAGCAATGGGAATACATTCTAGACAGGTTCCCAAACAAATGCACTGCTAAAGAGAGACATACAGACACACTTAACCCTCTAAAAATGCACATTTAACCTAAGTTTTATGTTTTTTGGACTGTGGTATGCAGCCAGAGTAAAAAGAGGGAATCTGCGCAAACATTGGAAGAATTCAATTCAATTCAAAAATACTTTATTAATTCCAAAGGGAAATGAAATGTTGCAGTAACTCATAGGTTATTTTTTATCCAGAAAATACACATTTTAGAGTCAAGGTGATTCACTTTGCTGTACATAAGAAAAAAAAGCCGAAAGAAGAGGGAACCAAACATAATTGAAGAGAATAAAAGTGGATAATTATAATAAACTGGTTATATAAAACAGGTAAATTGAATTATTAAAAGAGAGAGCAATACTACAAGGTACTGAAATCTGTTTTTTGAATAAATCTGTTAAAATTTAAGGGTAAATTAATTCATATATCACTCCTCCCTACTCCACCAAGCAGTTGTCATGCTTGTCTTAGTTTTAAGTTTATTTTGAGACCAAAAGAGTACGTAAAAGAGCCTTTTAGTTTAAAGTGCCAATGCTGCCCCATGTTGAAAGGGAACCCTGGGTGTGGAGCCCATTTCTAAAACCATCACTGCTCACATTGAAACACAGGCTGTTTTCTTATTGTTTTTTGTGTTTCCTTCTGTTTTCCAGGTGGAGTGGTTGAAGAATGAAGAGGTAATTGATCCAGCAGACGACAGAAACTTCTACATCACCATCGACCACAACCTGATCATCAAACAGGCTCGTCTGTCCGACACTGCCAACTACACCTGTGTTGCAAAGAACATTGTAGCCAAGAGACGCAGCACCACAGCCACAGTTATCGTCTACGGTAAAACTCTGCATTGTACTTTACTTCAAACTTCTTAACGACTCCAGCTCAGATCTCGTTGGCATCTTTCAATTTAGTATTGCTAGCAGTTTTTGACAGTGTTAATCTGATTATTCACCCGCTCAAACACTCATCCACTTCATCAAAAAAAACTTCCACCTCAGACACATGACAGGTTTGTGAAGTCATGGAAAAAGTGTTGAATTCTCTCACCAGGTCGGCTCCAGTCAAAATAAATCAAATTTCAAAGTCGTTATGCATAAAGTGGGAATCCGTCTGTCACCTGTAGAGAGTAACATTCGCTCATTTTGTTTCTGCCGGAGGGTGTGAGGGGAGCAAAGGATTTACGGTTTTCTGAACTGTGTGAGAGGTGTTGATGTAGCTGAGCCATACTTACGGAGACCCCCGCTGTGGCTCCTGCATGGGCTCAGCTACAGTCTCCCCAACATCAACTGGGTTGGTTCTTACTGCACACTGTGACTATAAAGGTAAACTTCAACAGGTGTGGGAGGCTCAAAATCGAGCAAATGACACATAAAACAAATGTTCTTTAGATACAACATCATTGTTTTATCCGAGTGAAATAACAGTTTTCTTGATAGCTCAATCAACCAAAGCCTAGAGATGTTTTATTTTACGGATCTTATATGGCTACAAACAGCTTACAATTATATGTATGCTGTTATTAATGGTGAAAGCAAAGACATAATTTTTTATCTTTTTAGCTGTACAGTAGTTAATGATGGTTATGGTAAATCCAATGTTTTCTTTTGACAAAAGTGTAAAAGAATATAGAATACTGCAAAATATATGCAGAAACGGTGCTAATAAAAATGACAGAGAAGTGATATTAATACATATGGAACATCAAACTCAATCATCACTGACTAACAAAAGTTGAAAATAGTAAAGGTTATCTCTTCCTATAATACGACATGTGTATGTGCTTTTGTCCATTAAGTAGGAGTAATTAATTGTAAAATGTTGCCTGGGTGAATTCAATTATAAACATAACAGATCAGCACCATGCCCTGGGATTTAGACACACTCTGTTGTAATCTTAGTCTGCCTTTTGTTAACCACAGTAGATGATGGCTTGTAATTGAATATAAAAGACATCTAAACATCTAGATTTCCATCAGTCAAACGTCATATCATAGCAACAGTGATCTGCTGTATAAAGAGCTGAGAGTTTAGCTTTTCTACAAATACCCATATTCTACATTTGATGTCAATTTGGCTAAAAGTCAAAAGGGAAAAAATTGTGGGTAAACTTGCATGAGAAACATTCGGTGAGTAGTGATTGATTTTATTTAATAAAAACTCACTTTTTCACCAACATAGAACACATCAAACTTAACCAAACATTGTAAGCAAAATATTTCTGGAAAATGTGAGGCTCTCTTTTATGGTCTGACTGCTGACTCTACTAGAGCTGCTGTATACAGTTAGCATAAACTGGGTTGTGTATTTCTCCCATAGCTTAAAGCCCTGCCCACACAGAGAGGAGCTTAGATGTATCTGTAAAGGTATTTTATCATGAAGACATTGCGTCTCAACAAAGCAAGGATTTTGGGAGACAGTGCCGACAAAACGCTCAATATTTATGCTAAAATGTTTTCTAGTAGTGCTGGATGGCCTCATGTGGATACATGCTTTTTTATCGCTTTTAAAGTTATATATATATATATTTTCTGCATGTGGTTAAAGTAGATTTAATTTTTCACAGTTTACAACAAAGACATAAAAATGAACATTGACCTGTTTTCTTCGGTGAGCCTCACCCACTTTTTCTGCATAGAATATCTTTTGAGAAACTATGAGGTGCGTGGTGTGGAACCATCAAGTCATCTTTATGTCATGTATTTGTTCTGCACGGCCACTGAACCAGGCGAGTCCAATCTGCACAGCGAATTAAATTGTGCAGATAAGACTCACCTGGTTCAGTGGCTCGGCAGAACAAATACATGACATAAAAATTACTTGATAGATTCACATCTCCTATTTCTGGAAAACCTCAGTAATAAGTGATTACATATTCAGTCAAAGTATATCTGCAATGGATTTTCTGTTCAGCATATTATCTGTTTTCTCTGTTAAATTCAATAACCAGTTGTACTTTGCTGTTAGATGCACCACCTCAGCGTTCATATTTGGTAATGGTGATTCCATTTAAAGAAGCATGGCTCCAAATACTCTTTTTGCAGTTTACTTTTACTTATATTGTTTGAAAACAATAGTTAAGGTGATTGGACTTCCATTATACATTTAATACTTTTACGTTAGATGTATTATAGCTGATAAATGATGTTGATATACAGATGCAGTAGATGCACATGAATAATATAGAAGTGGCCAGATGCTTGCAACTGATACTGCAGCAAGAGTAAAGTTTCAAATCCATAATTTTCTCATCTCTATCTGACTCTCCTCTGGTCCCGTAAGTGGCGTTGCATTCATAGAGATTTTGTTTTGTTTATCAACTGTTTTTCACAGCCGAGTGAATATCGAGAATAATGTGGCCATTTGGGGATCAGTGCAAAAGTAATGTAGAAATGTAGGGGAGCCGATTCCAGACAGAAGGCTTTGATGTCACCAGCAGTCTTTTAGGATTAAGTGTCAACATAGTACTCTGCTGTCAGCTCATTCTTTTCATGTCAAACATGGGATACTCACACATTCAAGTACAAATGGACTGCATGGGTAAGTACAGTATTCATATTGCCCCATGCAGCAGGATAGAAATACCCAATGGAAACTTGTCTGATACTAGTGAAGGTTGGGAGGTGGGGGAGATGGATCTGCAGTGTGTTTCCAAACCAACACACCAAAAGGACATTGGGAGAACAAGAGGTGACAACAAAATCTGGGTTTAGAAAAAGACAGTAAGAGAAAGAGAAAATACGAAGTTTTAACTCCTCAGAGGAAAGCAAGAAAAAAAAAAGACAGCACAGAAATCCTGGGCTTCTGCAGGCCTTTCCTTCGGGTCCAGTGTTTTTAGTTGTTTTTCCACTCAGCATGTCAAATTTTCAAGTTGTAGGCTCTGAGGGGCCCAGTTTCACCATCTCAAATGCCACAGACTTGTTCTCAGCCACAAGCCCTTGTGTCACTCTAGACTGGATTTAGCTGCTGACAGAGATGGATGAGAGAGGGAAGAGAGGCATTAGGAGGAATCAGTAAATGGAAAAGGCAGCAAGTGGACTAAAAAATGACGCAGTGCCCGCATTAGATAGTAATCACCTGAGATGTCAGGGGCCAAATATGAGCAGTTAAAGCAAAATATATTATGTGCATATAAACAGTAATGCATTTTTTGTGTGATTCTTTCAATCCTGATGTTTATTGTAACTGTTGCTGTTTTCTGTTGACTCATTTTAGAAAGCTCAGAAATTCCAATACTGAATTTACTTATTCTGGTCAAATTTTTTTACATCTTTAACTAATATGTATTTTCTTAATAAATAAAAAAGAATAAAGAATTGTAACACTTCATCTACTCCTTTGCAAAGCAGATTAAAACTCACTAAATTTGTTCCTTTCTTGCAAAGCCAAACATCGCGAATGGATGGAACATATTGTTAGATGTGATTTTTTTTGTTCAATATATATATTTTTTTATAAAATTCTCTTTGTTTACCTTAATATTCATGAGGGAAAAGCTGAGATTTATTGTTATTAAATAATTATTTATCTGTAACGTACACAATGCTTAGGCACTTTTATCTCATGTTCAATCATTGTTTAAGTATCTAACCAAAACGTATCAAAAAGTAGTTTTCATTACACCATCACTTTGACAAAAAAGTGCATATTTGCATTTGCAAATTAGTTGTTTGTCAAAATACTTTAAAGGTCATAGCTACAACTTTTTTAATCAAAATTATTAATTTCAAAACAAATTATACATCCACAGAGTTGGCATTTTAACATACCTTAAACATTGAACATTAAGAAATGGCTAAATTAATATAATTGATTTAATTCAGAATGCCCTATTTCAAACTGAGTTGGACTTTAGGATGAGCCTATTGCTAAGATTTATTTTTAGTATTCTTATTTTGGTTATTTTAAAAGCTGTGGATGTTCATGATCCAGAATTGAAGCCTTTTTTTGACATAATATTACTTTTCTTTTCCAGTAAACGGTGGATGGTCAACATGGACAGAATGGTCAGTGTGTAACAGCCGATGCGGCCGTGGTTTCCAGAAACGGACACGCAGCTGTACCAACCCAGCTCCACTCAACGGAGGGTCCATCTGTGAAGGACAGGGCATCCAGAAGCTGCCATGCAATCCTCTCTGCCCAGGTATGGCAAAAACAGGATACACTCTTTAAATGACGGGTTAAAAAGGGTTCAGATGCACAAAAGCGACTGCATAACGTGATGCAACTTTTGCTTGCATATTGTGTCTCCATGCTTACATGTGCCTCTCCCCTACTTATTCTCACCGTCTCAATCTCATAACCACCCATTCACTCATTTGTCTACATCTTGCCCATTTCATTCATTCGACCCTCATCCATGTCCTGTCTGCTGTGTGATAGTGGATGGCCTGTGGACAGAGTGGAGTAAGTGGTCCACCTGTGGGACAGAGTGCACCCACTACAGGAGGAGGGAATGCAGCGCCCCGCCACCCAAAAACGGAGGAAAGGACTGTGAGGGCGTGGTGCTCCAGTCCAAGAACTGCACCGATGGGATGTGCATGCAGAGTGAGTACCCATACTAATCATGTGCTACTCTCTCTGAACCCGCCGACCAGAAGAATCTCTTCACCTTTTGACCAGAAATTCGCTGTGCTCTTTCATCGCCATGTGTTTCACACCCACATATAACACTTTCGCCTTGTCTATCACTCAGCTTCTTTCGCCTCACTCTGAAAAACAAGAACAGAAGCTGAAAAGCCTCTTTCTGTGTCTGTCTTATTTTATTCACAATTCTATTCCACAAATAATACCCTTCAACTTTTGACAACATTTAGTGAGTGGTATTATGTATTTTACATGTACTCATCCAGGGCACGGATTTCATAATCAGCCTGGGTGTTGAATCATCTGTTTGATGTGATCTTTTTCCAAGGTGGTTTGAACAACAACGTCCATAAATTAAACCAAGAAGAATAAATAAAACTGAATTTCAAATATGGTAGTATACTTGAAGTGGCTGAGTTCCTGGCACAGCTGTAACCTTTCTGCATAGTCCACAGGTTATTTGGGTTGAAGACCTTTAATCTTTATGTTGTCTGATTTATCCATTCTATCACCGGTATCCAGCTTGGACTTTATATGCGCTTACTGCAGCAAATCCGAAGGCACTTCGCCTCCTTTCTTATTAGTGCTATTAACCAGCAAACCAATCCCGATGCATGATGCTAAAACCACCATGCTTTAGTGATTTTGTTTGAAAGCCTAACTTTGGTTCTTCCAAACAAAGTCTGTTATCTAACAGCTCAATCAGACTTTTTCCTGATCTGCATAATGGTTTTACAGTCTGTTGTTTGTCCCATACGCTCTGCTGCAAATGTCCCTTGTTTTTTTATTTTTAGCTTCAAAATAAGAACAAAACATGAAATGTTCTATTATGGTGAAGCATGGATTTTTTTTCTATAGGATTTTATTTGATGTAAAAAATATAAAAAAATAATTCAAAGCTAAAACCAAGAAAAGCAGATCTAAAAATATATTTTTTGTTTTTACAATAGTCTTTTGTGAAATTTTATCATGAATAATAAAAAAAAAAAAAAAACGCTAAAGCTAATAAGACTGGTGTCTGTTATTATACTATGTTATTTTGTTCTTTATATTATTTTAGGCCACTAATGAGAGGCATTGTACAGGTTTAAAAGGGTCAGATGGGGCTCAGGAGGATCAGATGCAGACCCAGTGCTAAGAGGATGTCTTAACAACAAGCTATGAGAATTTTCAAAGCAGGATTGTAGAGTAGAAATACAGATGAAGCAGAATTGGAGGTAAATTAAGACGATTTTTAATTGCAAGGAGAACCTAAAACAGACAGAACAAACCAGAAGCTTAATTACTGAGAAGGTGATTCCTGGGTAAGATAAACTAAAAATATAAATTAATTTCAAACCTATGCACCTAATTCTTGTTTTTAACACTCATTGAAAATGAATGCCTTTATCATTCTGTTCTGGGAGGAAAAGGGACAGCGTAAATAAATCTTTATAAGCCCAAAATGAGTGTCATTCATACCCTTGATAAGTACATGTATGGTTCTATACCAGAACTGTAATTTTGAGCTGTGCACTGGGAAGTCTGGCAAATGCTCTATTTAGGATTGCTTTCAAATATTCATTTACTGGTTTTGCTTTGTTGATGTTAACAAACGAAGGGATGAAAGCCAGTTTGTGGTGAAGCCAGATTTTTTTTTTTCCTGTGCATGCAGGGAATTGTTTACTTCTTCTGTCTCTGCCAGGAAGTTAAAAACAGCCACACAGTTCAGCTAATCCAACAATCCCGCACCCGCTTATTTATAACACATTCGCAGATTGAAATCATGGATTTAAAGCTTTGATGTGTGTGTGTGTGTTTACGGCAGTGCTGGGCTGTCAGAGGGTGATGCATTTCAACCTTTCATTTTCATTTATGTGAATGATCTTTGTCATTCTTGTCTGTTCCTCTTACAACAAAAGGAAGAGAATGAGAGGCAGAGAGATGCAAATGTTGCATAGTAACTGCTTTAGACCATGTCTACTTTTATAAAACTCCTCTGCAATAAACATCTTTGGAGGTGTTGGATCCAATCACTGTCACTTGTGCCTCCATCATGTGTAAAACCTATTACAGATGGTGGTTTTGACACTAATTATATAACAGAGGCTCAGCTGCTAGGTGTCTTAAATTTAATAGAGCTGGCAAACACTTTGTGCAGCTTCTGGTGCACCATGTTGTAAACTGCTACTTTTTATTAGGCTTCATAAGTCAGAGTCAACATTATATCTCTGATCAAAGTGCAAGTTTATTAAGTAAATGAATTAGCTTGCAAAAAAATGAGAGCAAGAAGGGCCAGTATTCAATTAGTAGTCATTGTTTAAAAGCTACTGTTAAAAGACTGCATTAACTGTTTTTCTTTAAGCATTATAGAAAGCTTTGCAAATGTATTCCTTATCTTTCAACATAAAACGAAATCCCATTAAACTCACATTTTATTTGGATTTTATGTGACAGATCATCAGGAACAGGAATAAGAGTTGAACAAAAGGGAATAAGCAGAATAATACAGGGCAGAAAATCAAGGGATTAGGTTGCAATGAAGTCTAAAGCACGGTTATATTTATCAAGCCTTTTTTAAAAGTATACCACAACATCCTATGATTAGGCTGTCCACCTAAACATACAGGCCAGGCCAAGCAAATACCAACTGGAGGAAAAAGATGTGATTGGTCCTGAGGGGCTGCAGAAATTAAAAGGTCTTGTGGGAGAATCTGTCAGCAGGATGATGATTAGTCATGAATTTAACAAATCTTGGATTTATGAAGGACTAACAAACTGTTTAAAGTAGGGCTGGGCATTAAGAAAAACAAAATCCCTTTTATACCAAAGTTGATTAATCATTTTTTTTAGGTTTATAATAAAAATGACAAATATTTACCTTCACTTTAAGGGTAATACAATGCAACCTTTAGAAATGCTTGCACAACAATGTTTCACAACAAATAATGAAAAAATAACAAGGTAAATGTTTGCAGCTAAGTCTTTCACAGTAAGTTAAACAGTCATAAGTTTACATGAAAGAACAAATGAACAAGTGATGACCTAACGAAAGGTGCTTTCACGGCAAACACGTTCTGGACATCAAAGCATCTTTACGTGCAAAGGCTAAACAGCGTCAAGAGCCCCTGTGGCGCGTCTGCTCATCGGTAACAGCGCATCCAAGCGTCAGGGCATCCTGGCGTCCGCTTCAAGCGTTCAAAGCTGCAGTTCAGAAACCTGAACTTGTGCAGCTTGAGGTGGGGTGTCAACCTATCGGAAAAGCTAATCCAGGAGTAGTAGGAAGAGACAAAAACTATATGCAAACTGTGATCACTTCTGCAGGGATAATTGCATATGAAAAATACATAAATAAAAATATGAAGGGTTAAACTCCACAGGTTATGAAAAAAAAACAGGTGAATGAATTGTTATATACAAGGAAAAGAGCGAGTCCTGATCATTATTACTGCATTAAAACATTTTTTTTTTTCAAATGAACAATTTGTAAATACCTAATTTAACATAATGCATGTAAAACCTTCAGACGAAAAAGGTTTCATTGTAAATTGTGGTACCTACAGTTTTCTTTACTTTAAGTATAAATCTCTGCATGAGACAAAGATTTATACTTATACATATTTAGTATTTAGAAAACCATTGTTTTTTTAAATTGACAATTATAAGACTAGTGTTGGTCTGTAACATAAAAAATGAATAAATAACCCTTTAACTGGGGTTTTAATGTGACTAGATTTAGGATGACATCACAAAAACTTTTGAAAACAAATCTGTTAAAGTTGCTTAAAAAGCATATATTCACCTAAACTCTTACCTGCCCTTGAACGTGTCCTGTGAAGCTCCGCCTATCTCAAAAGCATTAGTTCTTGAAGGATTGATGACCAGTTTGCAGAGAATGTAAAGCCATCATGATAAATTCAGGATCGTTTCAGAGATTGATTTTTTTTAGGAAGCTAAGAGGCCAGAGCCACTTATGTCAATGCTAATGACCATTTCCACAAGCATTTAGGAGAACGGCCCATTATCTGAAAGCTCATGTTATGGCAAATATGATTGGGAATGGAAGATGTGTGCAATCCGAACTCACCTCGGACTGCTGATTTGCTCCCTGCAGTGCAGAGCTGGAATCTGAGCAAACACGTGTCTGTGGATTTCGTTGCAGTTTGATCTTATTTTCTGATGTTTGAATTTATTTAAATCACTTCAAATGAGTCCATCACAGAGCTCTGCCTGAAGGAATCTGATATGACTGGAGCTCGATATACAGCCTGATGCCTCGGGCTTCTATAACTGCTCACTGTAAAAACACAACTGACCCCTGTAAAAAAGGAAAGAGTTTTGTTATAATTTACTTTGTAACCTGTTTATTGCATTTCAACTGTTAGGGAGTTTTGAATGTTATATTTAACAAAGTTAAACATCGTTAAATTGATCCAGAAAGCTTGCACTCTGCACATTCAGAGAAAACCTTTGGATTTCTAACTTGTGTAGCTTCCACAGTTCACTAGGCTGACCTGTCTCTGTTTGGCAATCCCCCTGTGGTCTGTCTTCTGATGTTTGTCAAGCCTCTGGTAACCCCACTCTAAGACATGACATTTTCTTGACATATCGATCCACTGAACAGGGAAATTCAGACACCCGCAAGGGTGCATGCTTTATTGCTGTGAGACAAGACGGCAGATTCATGATGCCAAGCTTCATTTTTGCTATTTATCCTGTGGTTGAAAGGTCTTGATCAAACTGTCTCATGATCTTTGGTTTCACATAGATTAAGAAGTAGCAGAGACAGAAATTAACCTTTTAACTGTGTTGATTATGTCAGGTTCTGCTGACAAAAGGACAAAATAGATCTGCAAGATTGGGGAATTGTCAAGTTGAAGTGATAATGCTTAACACGGACATTGATTAGCTGTACCGTGATCCCAACTTCCTTCCGGGATCTATAAGCTGAGAGGAAAAAAAAGATATTTTTTTTCTCTGGAGCTGCTTGTTTTCCTCTGGAGCCCATCCACTAAGAAAGCTATTATGCTGGTTTTACGTTGGACTCCGTCTGGATTCATGTGAACTCCGCAGGATAGGTTCAAAACGTTCATCCGCTAACTGTCGCCTCTTGCATGCCCCAAACCTGCATCCCCAACGCCTGATTGCATGCACCTACCCCATCTATCATGCCATTGATTTTCCTGTCAGTCCACTTGTCTTCCAGTGGCACTCTCCCTGTCCAATAAGAATTTTATTGTTTGTATAGTTGTTTAGGGATGTCTTGGGGAGAGTGAATATTAAGTCTGCTTGTGCACTCACTCTGCTTTCCAGTTTGGCCGCAGCTAAAGCCTCAGAAATCCCAGCAGGAGCCAGAAAACCTTCTATGTACTGTAGAAGATTTTCTAAATCTCTCAATCGCACGTGTTCAGTTTTTCTAATCACTGTCCTTCAGCTTTCCTCTCTTTCTGCTTTCCGAACATAATCATTCCTTTTATCTCGTGCACTAACATCTCCATCCACCTTCTGCTGACAGATGTAAGGCTGTAGGTTCTATTGACTCTGTTGGAGCCCACGGTTTATCAGCCCCTCCATTCCCCTCACCTGCCAGCATCTGTCCTGCTGCCACCAAAGCACTAAGCCCACTTGATGGATCGTGCACCTTCCTCGGAGAACGTCCACATTCTCCCCCTGTTTTCCTGTCAATTCATCTCTATATAGCATGCACAGATAGAGAGCGGGGGGAGGGGCGGTATTAAGAAAAAATCCCTCCCTGTATCATCATTCTTGTTCATGTGTTTGTTGCCGTCTCATTTGTTGAGTTTGTTTTTCTGTTGGAAATTTGGTTTTCATCACCCCTCTTTTTTTGCCCTCTCACCCTCTCCCCGTCCACGACCTTTTCTTTCTTTTTTTTTTAAAGGTTCCTTGTATCAGAAGTCAACTGAGGCTAATGACGAGGGTGATTTGGGAAATTCATGTGAGTTATTGTTTGTTGTCTTCATTTTTGATTTTGTTTTAATCTTTATTTCTGCTGTTATTTTTATGCACGTATGAGTTGGAAAAACACCCATCACTTAAAATCGGCACTTGTTTAATAAGAGCTTGGTGGTACCGCCCACATATTGGGCAATACAAAAAGTGAATTTACTTTTAGCTGGAAAGATTTTAATGCTAGATTACTCATCAGCTGCTAAGGCACAGATAGTCGATCCTGAGTCCCTGGCCAAAAGTCTCTGTCACATTTCAGAAATGCTATGAGTTTCTGTCTTCTTCTGACAGCCTTATGACCCAGATCAGTCATCACACAGCAGAACACCAAAGCTTACTGTCCACTGTAAAATTCTCTTGAACTGTGGGGCCAAAAGCTATATCACAGACTTTTATAGCATAAACAGCAGAGTACAGGATTAAAAGAACATGGTGATTTTGCATAACACCACAAAAATATACGCTGAAAGTTTAAATCTACTTCCTCTCACTGAGCCTGGCATCACTGATGAGACCTGATAGCTGTCAAACCTTTTGTATGTGCAGGCAGCTTTGCATAACTAACTGGTTCCTATTGCAAATAGAAAAAACAAAACAAGTACTTTAACTTGTGTGCGATATGTGTTTTTGGCACATTTCTGCTGCAGGCATTTATGCATGAAGCACATAAGTGTCATGACTTTTAATCTCCTTACATGCTGGTCATGATCTTGTAGTGTTTGATGTTCTTTGCTATTTTATTCCGCCATTAATCCCTCGCACAGTTCAAATTCAGGCACTGGTATTGTTCAAGTACAAAGGCTATCATCCTAACATTAATTACAAGAGTTTAAATTGTTTCATATATCCCTGTTTTCCTTTGTTACTAATACTAAAGCGTATGGTTTCTTATTTTAACTGTAGAGTTGTGTATCGTCCCTGCAATTATTATCTGCAATATTTTCTAAATAAATTAGTTAATTATATTCACTACTGCAGGGACTCAACCTAAATGATATTGGTCTCTTAAAAGGATGCGTCCAGATTCAGGCTTGACTTATTGGATAAACTCCCCACTTTCACATATATTTTGATGACTGAGACAGTAAAACTTTCAAGGTATTTTAATCTTAAAGAGATTAAGAATAAAAGACTTCTACCCCAGTGATCCAGTCCTGGATAAGCAGAGGGCGATGAGTACGAGTACATTACTAGCAGTGGGTCAGACCCCGTCTCCTTTCCGTTCCTTGTGGCATGGGTTGAGAAGTTTAACAGGATCATTCTAGAAGAGTTTTGTCTGCTATAGCATCATGGAATTGATTGAGATTTATTGGTATCTCATCCATGATTGCAAACTTCTTATTTACATATTGATAGAGATTGATAGAAAGTCAGCAGCAACAGTCAGACAGGCTGTGTTGTCTAAACAATACTCATATGGTACTAAAGGATCAAACTGTTTGAGGATTATATTGAACCATGGTTCCAGAGCAGTCTGGTCTCATCTCAAATTCGCACCCTATGATTAGATTAAAAACACATCTTTCCTTCTATTACTGTGTAAGTTTGTGAGCCATTATTTTCTATTCCTTAGCTTATACTGAAGCAACCTAAAAAGCCCTGATTTCAAGTTTTGTACCTCCACAAAGAAGGCTATGGTTATTTGTCAAGTTTGTCTGTCCGTCTGTGTACAGAATAATTGAAAAGTTATGAAAAGATTTAAATGACAACAATTTTACCAAAAGCTGCACCTCAATCCACAAGTTTGTGTGATGTCCACATCATTATCCGGATGCAGGATTTTTAAAAAGGATTCTTTAAAATTATTTAGCAGAACAAGCAGTTCCCCACTAAACCAGAGGGTGGCAGCAGTGAATATTGACAGCTTCAGCATCAGACTCAAAAAGAGTCCAGTACTATATTGAAGACAAAAATACAGGAAAGGTGAGCCATGCCTCGCTCAAAGTATCGATCTGCTGATCAAACAAGAAAGTAAATGAAGAGGGTCAGAGGAGAACGTTTGGTAAAGATCCAGATCATGTGTGATTTTTAGCTATAGGTGTAAATAAATAAGATATGGGGCAAACTTTAATGCCTGGTGGAGGCCTACACTCTAAGAGTCTTTCCTACTTTTCAGTGTTGCAAAGCTGTTTTGGATTAATCAATTTCGTTAAATTATCACCTGTAGCAAATTTTTTGCACTACTTAATTACATACAGGGCTACATGGGGGGTTTCACTGGAGAGATTGGGGAGATGTACATCTTTTTCTTAAATAAATACTCTTGCATTGCTCATTCTTCATAATATGCTTTACAGAATTTTAGTTTAGATATGTTGTTATTATGATTAATATTACTTAAATTACCTAAATTATGGTTTTCCAGAAACCAATTTTTGGTACGGAATGCCCAGTAGAGGATGCATGTAGGCAAAGCAACAGAGCTGGGTAAAACAATAAAGAAAGTTTAGGTTTGTTGAGGTTAGGCCTAATAATAGAAAGAAATACATTTTACTGAAGGAAACTAATACTTCTTGAAATCTTAAGTCTGTTTTACCACTGCTTTATTTCTTTAAAAATCTTTCCTTTTGTTATTGAAATGAGCTTTATGACTGTAACATTTATTCACATTAATTTGATTTAGAATTTTATTTGTCCTTTTATAGTTTCTATATAAATCAATGATACTGTAGATCTGAATACAATTTTACTCATGTTAGCATATTAATGTAGCATAACAGGTGTATTTATACTTTTTCCAACTTAGAGAACTGTATAGACCTCAAAGTTTAGATAACTTTTACAGAAAAAAAAATTATTTTGCTCTAACAACTTAATTTATTAAACCACATAAACAATAAAAAAACTAATAATCTAGTGTGAGTCTGTAACTAATGCAGAAATGTAAAAAAAAAAAAAAACATTTTCTGTTTTTCTACTTACAGGTATGTCAAATAATTGATCTTAAACATTTGAGGTTAGCAACAAAGCTGTGTTTATGTATTTACAAGGTTTTTCATCTCCAGGAAACATTTGTCCTTACAGGTTATCAGGGCTGTACTGGATGGTTCTAAAACATGGAGCAAATGAACAGAGGGTCTGCAGATGGCCTCTTTTTCTTAAACAATAGAAGATGAACTGAAACACAGAGGGCTTAAAGAGCAATTTTGAAACATTTTTAATTACCTCAGATGTCAGATGTTTTACCAAAGTCTTAGGCTTTAATTAGGTTTTCAAGGCTAAGGGTCTTCAAAGTCATGAAGGAAAGATGATTCAGATTCGAGCTTTAAAAGCACTGTAAGACTTAATTGTGGGGCTACACTAAGAATGAACTAATGAACACCCTCAAAGCAGGAGATATCTTTAGGAAAGAAGCAAAGCGTTTTTAAGGTGCTTTTTTAGTTCAAAGTTACTGTATAGCAGCTACTGCAGAAATAATGAACTGTCATCAGAGGAACCCTGTCGCTGCACCTGTCCAAAAAGTTTTAATACTTTTAATATAGATGTTAACAGATACAATTCTCAAACAAACTGGGGCATTTGGGTAAAAACTCTAGATAACCAAGGGCATTTAAAATATTTTTTTCATTTTTTTTGGTAAAGTATTGCATAGCCTTAGGAATTTTAACATTTTCTTTTTTTAGAAGTTAAGAATGAAAAAAAAATTATTGGTATCAAAATGATACCAATAATTACCAACAAGACATACAAATTTTAGTTGAAGCAAACCTAACTCACCCTGAAGTAATGTGCAAAAAGACTGTTTCTAAATATCTCATTTTTATTTTGCTTTAATTCTTCTGCGCAGTGCTTTTAAGCCTTTTCGTAATCCTGTCTCTCTTTCTCACTCTTTAAATCTTCTGGTCTTCACAGAAAATAGAGTGTTTAATAATCTGTTTCATTTCCACTCCTTGTATTTTTCCATTTCTGACAATAGCTCATGTTCAAAGGGACGTATTCATCACAGTGATACATTTTAATGCGTACACTTAGCAGGTTGCTGCATTTATCATCAAAGCGTGGATGGAAGATTGTTCGATTGAGGGGATATATGTTAAGCAACTGCAGGGAAGCTCTGCAGAAGGAGTGAAATTACATTTTTAGACCTTCATCACGGGTGCCCTGCTCTGTTTTCTGTTTGGGACTCTAAGAGAGGGAAGATTAGAGGTTTGACAGACCTTAGGGTGCATTGTGAACAGGCAAGGTTGAAAAGAGATGTATGCTTTCTAAGAAAAAACAAAACAAAAATATATATATTTCTATAATCTTGTCTAATCATAGTAATTTAGGAAACGTCAACCTCTGATTGAACACTGTCTTTCCAAATATTCAATATTTTTTTCTTTCTATCCTTCGTTTAATTCCATTTAGAGTTGAACATTAGGTCCAGTAGTTTTTTTTTATATCTTACAAAAGTATTTACACCCGTCAACCTTTTTGCAGATTGTCTACTTAAAACCATTAACAAGAATTTTAGCTGTCTAGACTATTCTAAGACATTTAGGACCACTGCTCCTTTGGAAAGTGTTGGTAGTAGCCTGTTAAAGTTTGCTTTCAGGAGTATCCTGTTTTTATCTCTTTTCATCTTCAACCCTGACTGGCTTCCCTGTGCTCACTGAAGAAAACTCCCTCTACAGCATGATGCTGCCACCACCAGTATTTTTTTTCAGGGCAAAATATGCCGCATTATTTTTAAACTTCACATGTAGCTTTACATTTACACCCGAAGACTCAGTTAAGTCCTACATAACCTTATAGTTTATTTGTCTTTAGCATATTTTTAGTTACACTTTTTAAGGTTTTCTTTCAAGAGAAGAGGTTGCCGCTCTTCCATAAAGGCCATATTTTCAGCAGCGTTTGGTTAATCAATGTCTGGTCTATTGATTCTTTCACCTAAGCTGTAGATCTTGGCAGGCTCCCCCAAGTCACTATGGGCCTCTTGACTCATCTTCTAATAAAAGCTCTCTTTGCTCAGGCCGCCTGTTTGGTTCGGGCGAAATATTTTGGAAGATTTACTGTATAGTTGTCCCTGAACCAAATTCTTTCAGTGGATTTTATGTAGTGCTTTGAGAGAAAATCGTTCCAAATACAAAAACATGTCACACCTTTCAGATTTTTCTTTGTAAACACTTTTTTAAAACAATTTTCTCCTTTGCTTACATTTTACAATCCTGCAACACTGTTGGTCTATGAAATAAAATCAAAATCATTTCAATTATAGAATCAAGTGAACACTGCAGAAATTATCTAAAATTAGATGATCTTCTAATGGATCTACTCTTAAAATAAGACAATTAGATATTATGCACTTAAATTAAGACTGTAGTTGTTTTTCTTATTTTAAATGTAAATAGTCTTATTGCATTGGCAAAGTGTTTCACTTACCTGCTCAATTCAAGAAAAATCTACTCATTTTAAATAAAATTGATTTTCTCTCTATTTGCAGTGTAACTTTAAAAAAATGTCTAAGAAATATGAGTATGGCTCTTTAAATTTTATTATTAAACTTATGGCTTTTTACTATTTGCAAAAACACTCTTTGCTCACTGCCTCTTCGCTTTTCTGCTTCATGCTTCTTTTGTGAAACTGAGCACAAGACTCATATGAGGGCCATCTGCACAAATCCTCTGCCATCATGCATGTCTTCAAAGCCCTTCCTTTGGATTTATGGGTGACACTGCCATCTGCTGCATATTCTGTGCAATTTGCATAAGTCCTAGAAGTGGGATTCACTGCCTTATAAAAATTCCTTTTACTCTCAAATAAATAAGTTTGCATGTGCATGCTTTTTGTCTGACTTCATAAACGACCTCTGAACATTTACACCCTGCGCTGACAAGTTAAACAATGTACGGACACATGCTCTCACAAGCCCCCCTGGTATTCCATTACCTCGAAAGAAGTCGTCCCCCCCAACACACCCCCTACTCATTTGTCAAGTCGTGACACTGAAGGACATTCTTCATGGAGAACGACAGAGTTCAGTCTGTCAGTCAGCATCTAATAAAAGCCCTGATCTGTACTCACTGTCTGTCTCCAGCAGCTGCATATATTCCTCTATGCTTGGCCAACTAATCACAGAGGTTTCAGCTGGAAAGAGGACAGAAAGACTTTGGGAGGCAGGCAAAGATGAAAGTCAATTTGAGAAATCCAAGCTATGTCTAGATCTTATCTGCAGTGTGTTAGAACAAAGACATATGCTCTGAACTTCAGCATAGAGCACCGGATTTGAAGATGAAATCCTGCACGGCTATGCGTCCGAGAACGTTTAATCTTGTGCCTGAGCATGGATCAGCCTGCCGCTGTGTTACACTGAGGCGGCCATATATCCTAATTGTGGGGGTTTTTTCAGGCTCTTATCATCATTATCTTTTAATTATTAATAATTATATTCATGAGGCCTGGTGTACAGCTTCAGTCAAATGCAGAGAAGCTTTGTTTTCTTTATAGAAATATCCAGCTTTGATCGAGTATAATCTCTGCCCTTTAGCGCAGAAGTAATGACTTTAATACGTTTTTCTGTGAAAAATATGTGTTTGTTGCTGTGTAACAAGTTTTGGAAAAGGAAATTATTTTTGCAAATATATAAATATGAAAACACGGACTAGAATAAAAAAACAAAAAAACAAATTAGCTTTCTGCATTTATTTCCCTGTATTATGGCTGTTAATATCCGGCTCAATCCCAAACCAGGATATTAGCCCTCTGATAATGTCCTCATCGCAACGCCTGCATGTTGAAAAAGAAAGCCTAATCTTATTGTTGTAAACTTATGATCTCTTAAAAGACTCTTCTTCTGTCTGTATCTTATCTCTGCTTCCTCCCTCCCAGTGGCTCCCAGTACAGATGACGTAGCTCTCTATGTGGGTATTGTCATCGCTGTGATCCTGTGCCTGGTTATCTCTGTCGTCGTGGCGCTCTTCGTCTACAGGAAGAACCACCGGGAGTTCAGCTCTGACATCATCGATTCCTCTGCCCTGAATGGAGGGTTCCAACCAGTCAGCATCAAGACTGCTCGCAAAGGTGAGTCAAAAGGTGGATTCTGGTTTAGTTTTTGGATGTGTTTACATGTCTAACGACTGTTAAAGGGTTTTACAAGGAAAATTTTAATTTCATCTATGTTTACCTTAATAAATTATAATTACTTTGATAAATTAATGAACTCTTTGGTACCTTAACATGGTAGTTCAAAATAAAAACCTTAAAAACAAAAGTACAAAAATCAAACATCTATAACTGAAGCATGGTGTTTCATTTTATGCTTTAGCATATTTTGGAATAATATGATTTAGTGACTTTAGTTTCATTGCTTGTTAAGAAGCAATACAATAAGATTATCCCATAATAGGATGTTTTTTTTAAAATGAGAATTATCAAGATAAAACATGATTGCCATTTAGTAAAGCACATTACATAGATCACATACGCAGTTTTGTGAGTGCTTTGATTGTGAATAATACATTTGGAGATGCAGTCATGTTTGATGAAGAGAGGCTTACAGTCATTTGGGTTTCTACTGACATAATTTTTTTATTTGTTTCAACAATTTTGCCTGATCTGAGTTTTAAATAAATGAAAAAATATTCAGATGAAGCAACGTGAACTTTACAGCACATTAGTTCAAGCTGTGTCAGCTTACGTAAATGCCTTGTGAGGCATCTGGAGGGGCTTACATTAATAGCTCATAACACCAACCTGTTGCAGTTTGTTTGACTCAGATGCTCTGAAGCAGCCACTGTCTCTGAGATGATGTAAATGTAAATGTGCTCTTTAGACTAAAGATGAGTCTGAACCTATGTTTATGTCAATGACATGCTATGATGAATAAAATATGTGACAGAAGGTTGAACCAGAGCTCATCATTAAAGCATCACCAGAGCAGTGTCTGTTGTTCATCATCAGCTCTTTAAGCAGGACTTAAAGGTGAAGCATTATAATGACTTAGTGCAGCCATTTGGACAATGATGAGATTAAGTCAGCACAATGTCAAGAAAAAAATATTTAGATATTTATTAAATAAAAGATTACAGGGTTTTTCTTCAATAATGAAATTGTGCTAATTAGTAGCTGATATGTCAGAGTTTTAGTTTGTCCTATTAGGGAACAACATGTTAGGGATGCACCAGAGGTGGCAAACACAATTAAATCATAATTTTACTTTGGTGCTTGATTATTAATCAGTATAGAAGTAAAGGGACAGAAAATATTTAAGGCTTTCAACTAATTTAAAAATCTGTGATGAAAAAAATGTGTTTATAAAACTTCCCCAAGTAATCATTTTATTCATCAAACAGAACTAAGAATAAAACTAAGCCATTTAAAAGAACGGTGTAAAAGCAGGTTTTGGTAAAGAGATTTTCACTCAACACTTGTATATTTTTTACTTAGTTTGTTTTCTGTTTATAGAATAATTATATTGTCTTTATGCTGCTCTGTTAGTACATTCATGTCTTAAAATACCCAATTATATTAAGACATCAAAGTTGTTGCATTTCTTTACACTGGAAATATAGGTTAACTTATCCATTAAATAAATGATCATACATACAACATTAACACTAACCTCTGTAACACTGGATAACATCTTTTGAACAGCCTTCCCTGGGGTCACTGACAGTTTTAGGGTCATCAGGAGAAGAAAAGAAAGACCTGAAAATAGCTTTTTCCCTTAAGGGGCCATGAAACATCTAACCGACCCTGAGCTGGGCTGGCACCACTGGACTTTGACTAAATATTTAACCAGAATTTATTTCAACAGCAATAAACTTGCAGTATTTCTTTTATCATATTTGTTTTTAAGGTATTTATGCCTGTACTAGATTCACAGTTTTTCTAATGTATCCTATTTGTCTGTGAATGGTATATTTTAATCCTTTAATTCACTTTAGTCTATATGTTGCAATGTTAAAGTCTGCTGTGCAACAAAATGTTGTACAGGTATGTGCAATGGCATTTAAGGCATCTATCTGAACAGATCATATCAAAGTCCATTGTTCGTTGAGACACTTCAAACCACAAAAAAAATTATTTGTTTTTGCTTATTTTTTTTTGTTTTGTTAAACAGCTTGTCAATCAGAGGTTCGCCAATGGGAATTCCATCTCTGTCTGTCTCTCTCTTTGCCTTGCCTGCATTTCCAACTGATGGTCAGAGGGCCCAGTGATGCCTGTGTTTGCATTTCGCTTCTGTCAGTGTGCCCCAGGGCAGCTGTGGCAACAATATAGCTTACCATTGGGAATAAGTGAATATAGTGTAAAGCTCTATGGGGTCCTTGGACTTGAGAAGGCAATTTGCAACTACAGGCCTTTTTAATTTAGCATAAGAGGAAATTTACATTTTAAAAATCACTTTTATAATTATAATTTCTTTAATTCTTTTCAAAAGGGGAATTAAGCATTTCTGTTCCATAAAACACAAATCTATAGCTGATTACCAGTGCTTTCGGCCTTGAAGCTCTGTGATTAAGGCCATTTTAGCCCAGTCTCTTATTGTCCATCTATTAACTATTGTTGAATAATTGAGACTAATAAGGCCTGCAGAGTTTAAAGGTCGGAACACACTAGACACAATTTAGCATCCAATCAGACAGAAAATTAGATTATATGAAGTTGTAGTAATTACATCTCATTGAAATGCACTTGGATCGTCAGACCGCACACATGCTTCCGACCGAGGTGGACCCTGATCTATTTTGGTCGGACCTATGTAGCAATTAGATGGGAATGTCTCCCTTCCTGTCAGACTCATTACATTCCAGCCAAAGTAAAACACATCAACCATGGGTAAATTATAAAGGTAAATCTCTAAATCGTAAGGTAGACTAGTCAGGCTCCTCCCCATGTATAGTAGGTCTGTCTGGAAACACAGTGTATAATCAATAAAATGTTTCAATAAACAGTATACAGTATGTACTCATGGTAAAATAGGGATTTTTCAGCTTGTCAGAGCAGCAACCACAATTGTTGCCCTGCTTGTTTATACAGTGGGGAATGCTGCGACAAAACTCTCCTCTGAATGCTCGATCTTGCAAAGCTGGTGGCCCGTAGGGGAAGCTCCTATGCAGGCAGTGTGACAGGGAAAAAATCTTGGCTTGTAGAAATGGGAGTTAGGGTGTATTCTGGTCTTCACATTTTGGGTTCACATTAAGGAGTCCAGGGTAAATCCTTAATATGCTCTTGGTGTGTTTTGTTTGGAATAGCTATTGGTATTTTTAACCCACTTCATGTAGTAAGTGAGGTACCATTTAAAAAAAATAGTTTTACTGCACAGGTCTGACAGTAATTCGGCCTGACTGTGGCCAGTAGAATTGATCCATGATGGTTAAATGCAAAAAACTACTAAATTATCATTGATGCTTTTCATTACCTCTTTACCCGCTGCTGCATTCCCCTAATTGACTCTAATCCTAAATATTTAACTCATACAACCTTCTTTGAACCACTACAAATTGGTCTATAGCCTTTTTTTAAAGAATGTTTGAAAAAACAAAACAGAACAAAGCCAGAACCATTGATATAAAACAGGATGCACAATTACAGATGTTGGCTCTATCATTCTGTGTTAAGCTGTAGCATATTGCATCAATTTTTACACATGTGTGTTTTTCCTTTGAGCCGCGTGTTTTATTCTCTCCACATGTTTTCAATCACTTCTTTGCTATGATCCCCTCAATGCAATCTTCAGTCACCGAAGTTACTGATGTTTTATGTACAGCAAACAATCATCAGAAATTAGATCACCCTTTATGGCAGAGGTGTGACCCAGAAACTTATATTAGGAAGCTGAGAGGGTGTGGAGGCAACAGTAGAGCTTAACTTCGCAGGGTTCTTGTGATGCCATCTGTTCTTCATGAATCACAGCTGCACCTTAACTTTTCCGATTGAGCTATGTTTGTTGCCACTTCCTTAATGAGCAAAAAACAACAGTATAAGCAAAGCAGCTGTTTTGACTTCAGTCTTGTGCGTTTCTTACCCCCAATTACAAAAACTGAACCCTTTATATATTCTGCTTTCCATTTTTTCCTATTTTGTTTTTTTCGTTCAGCTGATCTTCTAACAGCACCACCTGATCTGACCTCAGCGGCCGCCATGTACCGCGGCCCAGTTTACGCCCTCCATGATGTGGCCGACAAAATCCCCATGACCAACTCACCTCTGCTGGATCCTCTGCCTAACCTAAAGATTAAGGTGTACAACTCCTCAGGCCTGGTGACCCCACAGGATGACCTGGGAGGGGAGCTGTCGTCAAAGCTGTCACCAAAGTTGCCACACTGCCTGTTGGACAACAGTGACAGCACTATGGGGCGCCGCACACAGACGCTACTTCGCACGAGGGATCCCTCCTGCACTGCTCTCGGCTCCTTTAGCTCACAGGGGGGACAGCTGATTGTACCCAACTCAGGTAGGGCTGCAAAGAGCTGCTTTCTAAACGTGTTTATTTTTTTGTTATTCAGTGACATTTATTTGTTCCTCTGCTAAGAATAAAAAGGTCCTCAAATAATTAACACAGTGCATTTTAAATGTCTGCACATTTATTTATAATAGAATAATCCCATGCTAAAAATGATATTTTTATTTGAATGAAATTCCTAATAATAACTTTAATATCAATAGTCGCATTGTAACTGATATTACTGTTGAGTGTAAATGGAAAGCAACTGAACTTGACCGTTCCAGACACCATGGAACTGCGCTAAATCTAGTACCAATTCATCAGTAGTGATCGGCACGGTTTAGTTGAGGCTCAGTTCTCTGATGACAAAGAGCGTATGAGCAGATTACGTCATCCCTTTTTACAGTCAGCTGACTTATTTTGTGGGTTTTCTAGCGTGTCCGGCTTTGCAATTCTCCTGTTCACAACACAAACTTCTTCTCAGCCTATTAACGATAAATGGCATCACAAGAGTGTGGTGGGACCTGGGATGATGCCAAAACTGAAGCTGTCATTAAAACTTGGGCGGAGGACACCATCCAGACACATCATTTCCTGAATGTTATGGGCGCCACCATTTTTGTTTGCGTAATTCCTGCCTTGAGAGCTGTAGTATTGTGGACCACCAATAGTAGGTGAGGAACCGTGCTACCGTGATGTGTAAATGGTCGTAAGAACCAAGCTTGGCACGGTTAACTGATCCAAGCTCGGTCTGAACTCTGCACTGATCAGTTTCATCGGGGTAGTGTTAATGGGGCAAATGTAACAGCAGTGTTTTGTAATCCATTCTTTCCATTTTTAAATGGACTTTGTCTTTGAGACTTAATTTGCTAATCTATGGCTTCCTGTTACCCAGAGCTATAATAATACAATTCTTACAAAAATTCTTAAAATTAAGAAAGCCATGAGAACATGCCATCTTGGTATCTTAAGAAGGACATTTTTACAAAGGAACCTAGAGTCAAATCCAACAACTAAAAGGCTTAAAACAATTACATCCAATGTTAGAAGAAATGTATTTATTGATCCCTCACTCTAAAAAGAGGATTGTAAGGAAAGGAAAAAAGGACAGCAGCTCCTTGTTTGTGTCCATCCACCCATCCATTGTTTCCATTTACTGTGGCTAAGGAACAGATCCAGGAGGAAAATCCAGACTTACTTTCTGATGACACCCTCAAGCTGATCCGAGGGGATTCCCTCATTGCTCCTTTCACAAAGCAGCAGCTGGACGCTAAAGTTCCCTTAACCACATAAATCTGTCAGATAAAAAGGCAGCAAAGCTAAATTTGACAGCTTTTTATTGTTTGAATTATATTAAAAGGATGTTAATGCTGTTAACAAACTAAGAAAATCAAAGACAAATAGGAGCGAAACATGTACGGATAATTAGTTTCACTTAGAAGTTATGTGCAAGAATATATTTGATAATGTTATATAACTTTGGCACAAACGCGAAACCTTTTTTGAAGGCTAAAATGGTTTTAGTGTCACACATAATCTAGTTCTCAACACAAATACTTTCAATTTTATGGGTAGAGCAAATACTATGTACAGTAGGTAGGCTGCTCTACTTACAGAGCTTATCTGCCTACCATCACTACATTAAACATACAAACAGATGTGACTTTGAAGTGATATGCTTAGCCATATGTAACTTATCAGGGAGCTGACTGAGCACAGTGTGACAGCAGTTGATGGATACCTGAGGTGCTTCCACCAGAAGCGCTGAAGTCGAGGTGTTCTAGTTTCAGGCAGCTTACATTAGCCATGCTGTCTTCACTTCAAACACTTGCAGGCTGTAAGGATCACACCACAGATGCGTGTTGACAGGCATAGACAAACTAGCTGTGACATTAAAGGATGCAGACTTCTCACATTCCTTAAGTTGTTATTTTATTTATTTTATTTATTTTCTTTATAATACCTGAAAAATTTTCTCACCTCATTATGTTACATAGGCTGCATGGGGCAGAAAGGGAATTTGATATTCGATATGTTTGTGTGTCAGAGTAATGAAATATTTGGTGGCACTTTCTCTGTGGCAGATTTTGCATTTTAAAATGCATCACAGCTTTCCTGTAAGCCAGATCTGTGATTGAAAGGAGAACCTGTCTGTCACCCTTTTTGAGAAGTTTGCTGCAATTACACTGAAAATCTCTAGCTATCTTAATACCCCCCTCTTGAGACAGAAAAGCATAGCTTGTGTGTATGCATGAGGGAATTTGATGGATTTCTTCCTAAAAAAAAAAAAAAAAATAACCCATGAGACAAGACATCATTTCAAATCAATCTGAGATGGAAAAATGTAAATTGTGATGGCTGCAGCTATATTGAAATGCTATGAAGAGATAGGAGATCATTGATTGTAGAAATGAAACCCAGCATCATTTTGGATGTCACGGAAGAAGGCAATGAAATGTGAGTTTTATGCGAGAGTAAATTATACTGCTATGGGAAAAAGTCAGAAAAAAAAGCTTTGGTTCTAGGAAAACAAGACAAAATAAATAAATAAATAAATAAAATAATACGTATGATACCCAAACATATATATATAGATATAATATTTTTAATTGTTTGATCCAGTCCATTGCACTTAACAAGGAACTGTTATTTATTTGTCAATAAATAAGAGAAAGCATATTAATATTTGTGTCAATATGCTAAATTTTTTTAATGTTTATGTCAGGGCTGAAGCCTGCCAAGATATATGGTTCATTCATTCAAAAGTTGAACTGGATCAGTTTTGGGTATCAGCCAATACGCTTAGCTCAGGTATCCGTATCAGATTGGATTGGAAAAAACTGGAGTAGTGCACTTCTACACTGAGGCCAGGCTGAATGCTGGAATGTCTTATTCCTGGAATTTAGCTTTAATATACCAAGGGCATAGAGACTAGATGGTAAAGATGTTAAATGTAGTGGTTGTCTTTGCATCACTTAGTATCCTTATGCTGCTTGCATATGTGAAATTCACAATCCAAAATTAAGCAGGACAGACAACTAAAGCCCCCTAAATGTATAATATAATAAAACCTTTGGTGTGCTCCGTAAATCACAGCTTGTTTCCTGTGTTTCTGTTCCATAGGGGTAAGTCTGCTCATACCAGCGGGGGCCATTCCTCAAGGCAGGGTCTATGAGATGTACGTGACCGTTCAGAGGAAGGACAACCTGAGGTATGGCGTTCTGCACCCCGAAAGCGTTGTTTACCCCTGTCCGCTGTGCCCCATTACACTCTAGCAGAGACAGCTGTCAACACAGTCGCTGAACAGCATTTGTATGTTTTTTTTGTCTGTGTGAAATCTCCAGGCCTTCTGTGGAAGATGGTCAAACAGTGCTGAGCCCCATAGTGAGTTGTGGGCCCCCTGGGGCCCTGCTGACACGGCCCGTCATCATCACCATGCACCACTGTGCCGTGTGTGACGGCCAGCAGGACTGGCTGATCCAACTCAAGAGCCAGTCCCAGCAGAACCAGTGGGAGGTGAGGTTTTAAAGTCACAAAGAAAACCCAAAAATATTGTACTGCAGAGGAAACTAATACCTGTCAGGTTTAAAAATGTGCTGTAAAGCTTTAAGATGGTTTCCTTTCAATTTAAAATCAGATACAGAATGGCGTTATTCAAGATGCATGTGGTTAATTAAAATTTCTGTTGTGTGAGTAAAGAACAAAGGAGAAAGATGATATTCCTTTGATCAGAATAGAATGAAAAAGAAAGACTGCTACTACCTTTGGTTTGGTGTGAAGCTCAGCTCTAATAATGTGCTGAAAGAGTACACCTCTGATCTCTGGGAATAGGATAGGACTTAATATGGCATGCTTTATACATGTGGTGTTGTGCATTGTGTTACTGGAAGCGTTTTGCTTAGAGTTCAAATGATCAGGTCACAATAGATGCTTAAGGGTAAATATTTTGTCCCTTCTAAGCATGTTTCTTCTCTAATGACTTTGCTTCCTGAATCATAAACTCGGATAGGTTTAGGTGCATAAATCGTGATTTACATAGTTTTCATTTGATGTATGAAACAGAAAGTTAAAAATCTGGTGGCTGAAGCAGTTTTCCTTTACATCCTGTGTCACTAACATGTTAAATCAAAGCTATAGTGACCTGCATTTATGGAATGAACAAACAACATTAAAAGAAGAACTATGTTTTATACAACTTCACAAGAGGATTTAATATTACACACACAAATAGCTTTGTGTTTAATGTCATTTGGCTTCCTAAATGTTAATATTATACATTGATTTTTTTTCAAGGTATTCTGTTTCATGAGACAGCCCTTAGACACAAAATGGTTCCTCCAGCTGCAGAACACCAAAATCCCCCATCTGTCCAACCCAACATTGTGTAAAGCCACACAGTCTTTTGTGATGTTACACACTTTTTTATGTGTACAAAAGAGTTCTTCACACCTGAAAAAGGTGGACTTACCTTCAAGTTTGAAGACAATGTTCTCCAAGTGAAACAGCGCTATGAAACCTGTATTTTTATAGCTTTAGATCGCCATGAAATAGGGTTCTACCTTTTGGCATTGCTCCATTATAACATGCTTTGGAAGACAAGAAACACTCATCTTTCCGCATAGAGCAATGAGCCTAAACCACAAAACCTAGTCTCCTAGTATACGCATAGTGTCAGGTGCATTGACTATTTAAAGCTCTTCAAATGCTTGTTAGGCCATATATTGTAAACAGTCAGATTCACATTGTACCACAGGTCCAAGCATCCCTGCTGCTCTCTAAAACAGTTGTTCTATCACCAAAGTTTATCAGAGCGAAAACACCAATTAATTACATTATTAATAATTTAAAAAAAAAACAATTTCAGCATCTCAGTTACCTAAATGAAAATTATGATGTAGAGAATACACTTAAATCTTTATTTGTCACTTGTAAAGATTTTCTGCGGATAGCTAAAGAAAAAACAACATTTATGATAAATGTATTACACCACACTACAGATAGACATACAGATTCTTTATGGTCAATTCTGATTTTGACAGAAGTCAAACAAAAAATGCTGTAGATTTTTTTTCCTGTGAATATTTGAAGCTGACATTGCTTTATAATGATAAAGTGACGCAACGATACCAAATAGTACACAAGTCTCAGTCTATGAAGGATAAAATTGAAAGGAGAATGCATGCACTTCAGCTGATTTCTGGATATGATTGCTGAATGCGCAAATAAATTACAGAGTGTATGCCTAATCGACTGATCCCGATACAAGGAAAACTTTCATCAAACAGTATTGGCTGGCTGATTTAACAGTCTATTTCTATATCAGACAAATAATAAAAAATTGTTTATGCAGAAATGTGAGCTTAACTAAAATTACATTTTGAAAGGAGCATCTAATCTGACAAACAAGCCTCTGAAATGAGTAATCATTTTATTTTATTGAATATAACCTTATAAACTTAATACATCCTGAAACACTTTAAAATGAATGGGCACTCTTTTTTTTTTTTCCATCCATGCATGTTTGAGAAAAGCCATTGTCACACACAGACAATGAGGTCCCAGGTATAAACTGTTCTTCCAGCCTCATGGCTAAAAAGTTTGGCCGAATGTAAACCTACTTAAAAAGTTTGAGTAGTTTAAACAATTAATAAATAATGGAGAGAGCTTCAATCACTTCTTTATTTCTTTATTTTTTTTGTCAAGAGCTATTTCAATTATTAAAATCAGCCTTGACAGGAAATCTCATAAGCAGATTTTGTGAATCTTTTTCTAAGAAAGTTTTCTAAGAAAATCTCAGTGAAACCAGTACATTGAAAACTGCTTAAGTTTAATATGAAGTGGATTTAATTCTAGAAATGTATCTAAATTCATTTTTTGACTCAAAATAATCAGTGCTGCAGGTTCAATTAAATGTTATTTCAGAGGATAATGTTGTCTTATGAGAATTATCAGAATCTTTTGTAGACAAAACAGAATTTTCAAAACTCAGACAATAGTGAATTAGATGAGGGTTTAGACTGTGAAGTTTCATTTAAACAGAGCATTTTTGATTAAGAAGAAAACTGATAGTTGTTTGACCACTCAGAGTTGGAAGGTGTGAAAAGTTTACTTGCTCCCCCTCGATTCATCTCTCATGTTGGATGCATGTTGATGATGACCTAAGATAGTGACCCATATTTGGGACTTAATATTTCATTAATTCCTAAAGAATCTTTAGAAATAAGATCCTCAGCTAAAGGATGTGTGAATGAATTAAGGCTGTGTTTGTTCACTCCATTGCTTCTGTTTGTGCACATACTGTATAAACAAAATACAAGCTGAATTTTTCTACAGTGTGTTCTCATTATCCCCCACTAGGAAAGCCCCTGGTGCCATCCCACAGGAGCAGTTAAAGAGTCTAATGATCCGCCATAATACTGCTGTTAAATGGCATAGCTCACAATAAAACGCTGTAATTCCTCTTCTGTCTCTTATAATGGGTTGAATTAGTACCAGTGTGCTGCTGCAAGGAGTGTTTGTTACCCAGAGAGAGAGAGAGTGACTGAAAGATCAAGATCAGGAGAGCTGGAGGAAGAGAGAGAGGACGGATTGGAAGAAAGAGGAGGCATTATTTGCCTTAGACAGGATGATGTTAATGAAAGAGGAATATGTCCAGGCCATGGTGCCATTAAAGGGGTCAACCTCAGATGGCCTGAATACTACATGTCCCATTATCTGGCATGGATAATGAGCGAGCATCAGGGGGAGTCACACACAAAGACAACCACATTAATATTTCAAAAGGATGTAGCTTTTTTTAAAGGTCAAAACCTTAATTGTGACTTTTAAATTAAAATTCATCTGATTTTCCTCAGTAATCAAAAAGCATGGCAGTAAACAGAAGTGCAGTATGCTTTTTCCCGTTAGACAGCAGATGTGTTAAATATGTAACTTGTATCAAAGTTTTCAAACGGCGATTTTACCTGGTTTTAAAAAGGTTTTACAGGTTGTTTCTTAATTACTATTTATTGTATAATCAGAAGAGGTTTCTGGAGTCCATTAAGATCTTACAGTAGTGCACTTCCCATAACTGTCATCCGCACAGTCAAAAGAATGAGACGTAATTGTGTTTAATTACTACAAAGCCATCCCATTGGTGGTAGATACAGTGCTAGCTTATCAATGAGATAGGGCCCATGTTCACCTGTCTGAATCGATCTGAAAGGCCAGACAGGGTCAAACTGATCTACTATTGAGGCCAGAACTGCATCAAACACACCCAATTATTTATAATAATGCTCTTGGAAGTGCAGCTGTTTGTCACATGGCTTTAAACAATGATCAGCAATCTCCAAATGGATGAAAACGGCACAGATGCATGCAAATTACAGTCCTCTAAGTTTACTCCCTGGTTGCTGATGATCCTAATGCTGTTGTTTAGTCAGTAACTGTAAGAGTAAAAAATAAGCACATGTGTCCATTTAAAATTATATTAAAATCTCTTATTTTCACCATTAAATGCTTTTCAGTTGTGAGATTTTTATGTGATGATCATTGAAGGACTTTGTCCCGACTGTAGAGGCTCTGCCAAAGTTGATGCTGTTTAACATTTCTAAAGAAAAGTGAACTTGATCTACATTGCAGTTACTTAATACAGACCCTGTCAGGAGTAATTATGGCCTTTGATAACAGAAGTCGTCTTTACACCCAGATTTTCGCTCCCCTGTTGTTAATTTGGTCGATCTCTGCATCCACTGTCTTTTGACGAAGTAGAATTATGATGCCATTTTGAGCTGTGGATGCTGAAATTCAGCTCTATATCTATCTATCATCTTGTCTGTGCTGCAGGATGTGGTGGTTGTAGGAGAGGAAAACTTCACCACGCCGTGCTATATCCAGATGGATGAGGAGGCTTGCCACATCCTGACGGAGACATTGGGCACCTACTGCCTCGTGGGTCAATCTCTCAGCGCTGCCACCATTAAACGCCTCAAACTAGCCATCTTTGGCCCCGTCACCTGCCCCGCCATGGAGTATCACATCAGAGTTTACTGTCTGGACGACACTCAGGATGCACTCAAGGTATAAGCACAGCTTCACAAGCATGTGCTTTTTCTTTATTTATCTCTTGTCATCTGCTGAAGGTCAAATCGGCAGTATTAAATTGTTTTTGAGCAGTAATGAAATGTTAGTTTTTTTCATTTCGACTGAGCTGTTTGTGAGAGAACAGCCAGCAGATGAGAAAGCTTTGTGTGTTCGTGTCACAATATAGGGAGATGGTGGCTTCTATTTGAAAAACGGTGCCGCTTCTTGAAAGGTGTAGCCTCTGCATCGACGCAATAAGCCACATTTATCCGTCTACTCTGCTGTCATCTCATAACATCAATTCTGTTTAATACTTGGATGCACCTATGTGGAAGAAAGATAAGGAGAAATTACTGCACCAAGGGGGTATTGAACACAGTTATTAAATTTGGGGATGGGTAATGAGAGCTGATAGTTATCTTACTGCAAGAACATTGAGGAAGGTTGCTTTTGGTTTTGCTTTTTTAGACAAACGTGGATCAACTGTCCTTGAAAAAAGGATGCACTATAAGTTGGGTAGGTCATTGTTGGTCCCGTTTAAAATAAAGCGCATGTTTAAATTTGCAGGAAGTTCTGCAGATGGAGAAGCAAATGGGTGGAAAACTTCTGGATGAACCAAAGACTCTAAACTTTAAGGACAGCACTCACAATCTGAGACTTTCCATCCATGATGTTACCCAGCCATTGTGGAAGAGCAAACTTCTAGCAAAGTATCAGGTAAGAGAGCTGATCTAATTTCCAATCTATTCTAGATCTTGATGCTGTACAACCAAATTACTAAATCTGGTTTGTCTTTACAAACAAAATGTTATTAGCATTAACCAGTTTGTTAGCTCTCTTTCAATAAGCGGTCATTAATTATTTATGTACTTGGGGCAGTACTGTACTGTCTATTACTAACAAAAAAGTCACCTAGTTTTGTTTCTCAAGCTTATTCATCCTTTATCAGATCAAGAAATTGTAAACTTCTTAGGATATTTAATATACCTTTGTCCATCACAGAGTTTGAAGGCAGAAAAGGATAAGAAAAGTAGATTCTCTTTTCTCTGTGCCTCTCTGCTTCCCATGACAACAGCTATAGTTTCCAGTGTAAACTGAAACATGTTGGTTTCAGTCAGGCTGGAAAGCTTATATTAAAAATGTTTTTGCAAAAAAGCAGCAGTGTTGAGATCAATCCCAGTAACTCCTCTGTCTCTTTTCCAGGAGCTCTCCTTTCAGCAAGTCTGGACGGGCTCTCAGAGAAACCTCCACTGCTGTTTCACTTTGGAGCGCTTCTCTCTTAGCACGGTGGACCTGAGCTGTAAGATATGTGTGCGACAAGTTGAAGGAGAGGGACAAATCTTTCAGTTGGATACGACACTCTCAGAGGTATCATTTTAAATCTACGTTTACAATATTCCAAACATTAATGTGACAGTCAAAAGTTATTCACCAGAAGACTTGGCAGAATAATGTACCATGTGATGGAATGACAAGTTGTCTTCATTTGTGATAAACTGTGATCTTATCATGGAAAGCCCCTCCGCTTATCTCTTATTTCATGCATTTGTGATATAATAATATATCCATCCATTTTCTGACATGCTTAATCCCAAGTGGGGTTGCAAGGGGTGCTGGTGCCGAACTCAAGCTGTCCATCGCAGGGCCACATAGAGACAAACAGGACAAAAGACCATTCACGCACAAACTCACAACTAAGGCAGGTGAAATTAAGGGAAGCAAATTAACCAACAGTCATGTTTTTGGACTGTGGGAGGAAGTCAGAGTATCTAGAGAAAACCCACGCATGCTCAGTGACAACATGCAAACTCCACGTAGAAAGACCACGGGCCAGGAATCGAACCCGTGACCTTCTCGCTGCAAGGCAGGAGTGCTACCCACTGCTCCACTAAGCAGAATTTTATTTTTCTCTAATATTTGCACTTAATCCAGCAACCAATAAACGGAAAAGATTTTGTAACTGATTTGGACTACCATCCTCATGATAAAAGCATGGTGGTGGTGGCATCATGCCGTGGGGTTTTGATCTTTAGCATTGGTTAGAAAGATGGCTAAGCTTGATTGGAAAAAATTATGGAACCAAAAAACGGAGCACTCCTGTACAAAACCTATGGAATTACTTCAGACTGGAGCTTAAGTTTATTTTCCTACAGCCAAAGAGACAGTGCCAATGTTTAGATCAAAACATATATATGTGAAACAACCACCTAATCAAAGCCCTGACCTAAATGAAACTTAAAATGTTTGCCGTAGCTAGGGAATTTTGTTCCTAATTGTTTTCCATCCAATTTGACAGATTGTCATTGAGCTTTTAAAGGAAAAGTCCGGTCAGCAAGGAATGTTCGATGGATCATTTTCTATACCTAAAAATAATATGTTCACAGTGATTTAATGAATTTAGCATTAAAGAGTAAAAAATTTAAAATTATAATTTTCATTGCGATCACTGAGACCGGAACAGGCCATTTTTGCCCAAATATCGTAACACCTCACTCCAGAAATCTTCCAGCAGTGACGTCAGGGTGCGATAAACCAAGTGCCATTCTCTCCACTTTACAAGCAAAATCAATAAGAACTGCTAGACACCCCTGCAATCAACAACAATTTTTTAAGATTTCGAGAGGACTTCAACCTTGAAATTCGCGAGAGCTATAGTTAAACTGACAATGCCCATGTGTATGGCAGTTTGATGCTGTAATACACGGCTTAAAGGGGGAAAAAATGTGTTATTTCACCTTTCCAATTCATGATCCATCGCCGACGGTGATTGCTTACTTGAGGAGGGAGGATTTTCCATCAAACTTCTTGCTACAGGAAAAAACACATCATATGTAGACAACGTTTTGAAGAAGAATGTTTGCAAGATGACTTGGATAATAGCGCATTGTGACAAAAACCAGCTACAGCACTGCGACTTGATCAACAGCCGATACCGCAGCGTGACGTCACAACATGGATGTCTCAATTTAAATGAAATTACTCTTAATTAAAAACACTTATCATTTATGGAACAATATGTAATAATTTCTTATTTAAGGTATTTTCAGAAGTTTTTTTTTTTCTGAATATGACCAAACTTTTCCCTAAATAAAAAAGAATAAGGGATAATGTTTAGATGTAAAAGAGCTGATACTGAGACATACCCCTATAGATTTGAAGATGGCATTCAGATGAAAGGAAATGGTACAAAACTCATACTGAGGGAGGGCTGAAAATAAATTTAGGCCATTTATGTTTACTCAACAGATATGTGAGAAATAAGCATTTCTTAACTCTTTTTTTTCCTTCTATGTTTGCAGGACTCCCAGAGCATTGACACATCCCTGCTGGACCCCGCCAGCAACATCACGACATTGGTCGGGCCAAACGCTTTCCGCATCCCTCTTTCCATTCGACAGAAGCTGTGCGGTAGCCTAGATGCGCCGCAGACCAGAGGCAATGACTGGAGGATGCTGGCCCACAAACTCAACCTTGACAGGTGCTAAGAGGAGTGAGATGTTGCATCACATTTAAGATGCACTCTAACAGGCTGTTATCTGGTTTTGCAGGATAAATCATGTCAACAACCAAAAATACATAAAAAGATCCTCATGTTCATCTTTATCTGCCATATTATCCATGTTAGTAGAAGCAGAGGCCTACAATGCGTGGAGACAAATTATAGATAACTAATCTATTTTTAATTTGATTGTGATTGTTCTGCTGGGATGTGACTCATTGTGATAAACATCAGCTGAATTGAGATTAATTGACTTGGAGGGAACTCAGACAAAGACAGAGAGAGACGAAGATGGAGAGAGACACTCTTCTGTGCAACACGTCACCCATGCGTCTTTGATAGTCGTGTGTGTTTGTGTGTGTGTGTGTGTAATGGAGGTACAGTGTGAATCCATTTATAAGATCCCAGCTCAGCAGGGCAGCCTTATCACAAGCAGCAGCTGCAGATTGACGAGACCTCTTACTGAGTGCAGCGTGAAGGCAGGAGAATGCTAGGGAGAGACTTCAACCAACCCCTCACTCACAGCTTACATCAGTGATGCATCTTGGAAGTCATTTTTTTTCTGTTTATTTGTTTGTTTTATATACACTTTCTGTGTCTGATTAAAAATAGAGACATTTTAAAGTTTTACAAATTGGGAAAACAGAGAATCTAAAAAAAAAATGTTTACTTCTTTATGGATTTCTTCTTATCATCATCTATTTTTCATGATATTTCATTTTTCAGAGCAAAAGCTTTCCTAACCAACCTGGCTCATTTTTTTTTGTTTGTTTTTTTTTTTGTTTAATCTTAGCAACAATGTCCAGCTCTAATTACTGTACTTTAACACCAGTATCATCAATAATCTGAATAGAACCTGTTTGACAACATGAAGAAGAATGCTCCTCATGCCCTGTGCTAAAGAAATATATAAAAGGAGAGAAACGGGTCCTTTTCAGCTTGGTAATGGTTAGAAAGTGTTATTTATTCATTTATTTTGGGGTAAGGAGATAAAAAATAATATTTGACCATTCAGTTTTGTCGAGTCTGTGGACTGACAGGACAAAAGTTAAAATTTTTGGCATGACTTCCTCGTAATTCATCAACTGTAAAACTAACACAGAGCCTCCAGAAAACTAAAACCATACAAACAGTAAAAATACAGAGATGGCATCAAGATCTTGGTTTGTTTATCAACTTCAACATGTATGATTGCTAAATTTACGGAACCAGTTCTATTCCAAACCAAAAAAAAAATGCATTTTATTTTTCCTTTAGGTATTTGTCTGATATTAAAATGAATGATCTTGAATAATTTAATGTGACAGATATGAAATAGGTCAAAGTGAGTAAACTATTTCAGTTTGTTCAGACTGCTTTAAATTCTGTCTGAGTGGTTTATGATGTCTCTTCTTCACTCCTTAGATTCTAAACAGAACCATTGAAGGCCTCTCAGGCTTACCTATGAGCGCCTGGACTTTAGGATTTTTCCTGCAATATCTCCAAAATAATTGAGCTTTCCTTCTATTGATGGAGGCTTAGAGATGAGAACCATGAGCACATTAAGCTCTTATGGGCAGCGGTCGGACCTGTGAATGGGATTTTCCTGTGGATTATCCGCTCTTCCCTCTGAGGCAAAGCCGTTGTTGTATAAGGGAAGTTAGGAAAGCAGTTCTTTCAAAATGGTTACAAGATATTTGACCAAAAGAGTGACCGTAGAAATCAAGTGTTGTGAATATTTCAAACGTTTTCTGGTCTTTATTTCTATATGGGTTTAAATTTGCAGATATCAATGTTTTTGGGTTGTTGTTTTTTTAGAAACACTATTGGATGTTTTGTGCTATGTAAGTTTGAGCTCTGATTCATTCTGGAAGTCATTTTGATTCAATTTCTTAAAGATTTTACAATGTTTACCAGCAGTATAGATAAATAAGTAAAATGAAATCCATGGGTCCCGCCTACTAATCTCACCTTTATTTATATGACCAGAAATATACAGGAGGAGAGTAACAGTGAAGAAAAATGATTTCAGCCGCTGATTAATTCAAACGTGAAAGTTCACAGAGCATCGTCAATGTCGACTGGCTCCCTCATTAAAGGTGTAAAAAAAAAAAGGGGGGGGGGATACATTGTTTTATAGATTTTATTGAGGGTTTTGTTGCCATATTAATATTTTCCATTTTTTTAAGTTTGTTATGTGTCTGGCATGTTTAATTAGTAAATTAGGAGTTTCCGGTGTACAGTTTAAATTTCAGCTGATGCAGGTATGATCTTTAAAGCACTACCTACACCTAAATAAACTTTTTTCTGATAAACTGAAACTAAATAAATCTAAATCTTATAGTGCTCTCTATGTGAAAAAAGGCATTGCTTCGACAATTTCTTTGCACTTTTGTTTAAATCCTCCTTTTTTGTCTAAAACTGTCTGTTTGGCTCCCTCCTCGGGTTAAAACGGGGTTACTACACCTTTTTTTGTCTTTTGGCATAGCTGGGGATGTGACAGCAATTTGATGACTCAAAAAAAAAAAAATAAAAAAAAAAAAAATAATAATAAAAAAAAACAAAAAAAAAGAAAAAATAAAAAGAAAAAAAAAATTGAAAAAAATAAAACAAAGAAAAACGGAAAAGTAAACCAAAAGTTCAACGCCTGAAAAAAAATTTTTTTATTTCCATTTGCAAAATTTCATCTTTGTTTGCAACAATAATTGAACTTTATTCATTTTATACGAGCATTTGAGTATGTTACTAAAAAAAAATTCTGCAAATAAACAATAAACATGCATTTAGAAATTATTATAAATCAAAAAATTTTACAAGATAATTCTCTTATGGGTAACATATTTTTCAAACTTCTTGATAATTTGATGAAATTCTCATTCATTTAGATTCACCTTTTAGCAATTTTTCTAACCCATTTCTCCCTGTCACTTTGCAATATTTCATTTAGGTATCTGAACTACTTTGCCACCAAATCCAGTCCTACTGGAGTGATCTTGGATTTATGGGAGGCACAGCATTTTCCTGACGGCAACCTCAGCCGCCTTGCCCAGGTGCTGGAGGAGATGGGACGTCACGACAGCCTGGTTCCTTCTGCAACCGACCACTGACGTCTGCTTACGCCCGAAGAGGAAGAAGATAAAAAGAGAAATAAGGAAAAGAGGAATAAAGCATGACTTTTATTTGGAATCTAAGAGGCAAATCCTGGTTTGCTCTCTTAAGGTGCACGCTGAAAATAGTGGGAGCATACAAACAGCCAGGTCTGCTCAGCTATGACCCAGTTAAACATTGGCAACAAAAGGGTGTAGAAACCTGGAGAGTAAACATGAACCCTTGCCAGTCACTTTTCTGGCTGATTCTTCCTTTCTCTGGTGCAACAGTTTGATATTCTTGGCTCTTGTTTCCTTGGAAACAGCTGTCCGGTTGTTTGGATAGGTTGGCTGCAGATTGTCTCACAATGTATGAGAAACAGTCGACAAAGAGGTCAGCGGATCAAAGGAAAGGCGGGGTGTAGAGAGAGCATCACTCAGCTATCAAAGTCAATTTTCTGCTATTGTTGATGACTCAGTATTTAACAATATATCTATTTATGCTTGTTTTTTATTTTCTTTTGGGCTGTTATTCAGTATTTTATAGAACCTTTTATTTTTAGTTGCATTTTCATTTCTTTGACTGTGTCACATCGCCACCTGGTGGACTTCCATGGAAGTAAGAGTCAGAAAAAACTACAGTAAAGGAAAACCATTGTCTTTAATACTCTGTTTAATAATTATCTATATTATTTAGTGTTATGTAATATTATGGTGTCTTGGTTGCATCTTTTTTAACAATTTTTTGTTCGTTTTATACGTTTTTATTCATTTTTGAATCCCCTCCCGTCTTTAACTTGTTTATTTTAGAAATTAGATACGCTATTGAAGTATACAAAATATCCCATGCAGAATGAATAAATACAAATACATTTATGATTAACTGTAATCATTTCCACAACATGATCCTGTGATCAGACAGGTTTATTTTTGTAGGATCAGTGCAGTGGGAAACAGCTGCTTTCTACCAAAAAATGGAGACTTACAAGATGTGAGGGTCTATTTAATCAGTTTAATCTTGTTTTATTTTAGTGTTTGCAGTTAAGTCACATTCTCCAGCGCTTTGAGAAAAACGCTGAGATTTTAACTCAAGAAAGTTTGTACATTATATAACAGAAGCCATCAGTGTCATGATGATGCTGATCATGTGTATAATACTCATTAATAGCTATAAATGCGACATTCCTTTAACGAAGCAGCACTGTTCAAGTGTTCTTTATGGTTTTATTGTATTCCTCAATGGTATTTGTCTGAGTTTTTGTAAAGCTGTCTATGCAAACTCTGCATCCTATTGGAACAATCTTTTCATTTATCAGTGTGCTAGCCTTTATCTGATCGTCTTTCAGCTTCATGACTAATGTTGTGCATAGCGAGAATGTAGCCTGTCCGTTTATGGCGCTCATGATGTTCCTCGCTTGCGTTTCATCTGTTGAGTTACTGTACAAAGTGTAAGAAAGAATTTTTAAGACTGATAATAAATTATATTTATATGCAACAATATAAATGAAGCATTCCTGTTTGAATTTCTGAAACTGCAGAGCACTGTTTCAGAGGGGATTGTTATCCTGTGGGCACAAATTTTGGCCAAACAGTTTTGTACTTGTAAACCGAGCTTTGTAACAATATGAAATAAAATGCCTGAGAAACTCAGGTTTGTGTAACTGTAGAAAAGGTTTGTATTCTTGATCCAGCTTTATATAGTTTAGGATATGATTACAGAAGAAGCTGAAATTTATTTGAAAATTTTCGCTTTATTATATTTATTCATCAACACGTCTCAAACTGAGTGGACAGTGTCCCTTCCTGAGAGGCTAAAAAAAACGGAAAAATACTTATCTCTTCTAAAAGACTACTGGGGTTAGCTCAGATGCTAAAGAATAGTTTTGTCAGTCATTGACCAGTTCTAATTGTTAACAAGATGGTTTAGGTAAAGACATTAGGCCAAAATACTGATATATAAAGGTCAGTTAAGATACAAAGTAGAGATTCTATTTGTCAGTTATCTTTCCTGACACAGCTTCAGGACATGAAGGGCACATGAGATAATAAATATATATATATATATATATATATATATTTATTTATTTTCTAACTTGCTAGAGGCAGATAATTAACATCTAAAGGGCAGCTGAGATGTGCCACAAACTGTTCTGTTCTGATTGATCACTTTAGTTTATTACCACCTTAGCTGATGCATAAAAACGAGTTGAAGAGTAGGACCTCTAGATGGGATAAAAGATGAAAAAGAATCTCTCTTCTAATATGACAGTTATTGTTGATACTATGGTTAGGTCCTGAGATTGCCTAACTGGAGCAACATCTAGAAGGCTGCCAAGTTCAAGAAAAAAACTCATATTTCAAACACAATCAGCATAATAAACTTAGCATATACCAAAAGAGGGACACCTACAATGAAAACATTTGTGGGTACAGCATGATAAATTTGCAGTAAAGATAATTTGCCAAAGGAGTATTATCTAGGGGCTAGGTTAAAATTTTAATTAACTAGTTAATTTTAGGCACACAGCTAAAGCTTAAAGAGTGATATCCAGATCATATCTGAGATGCATAGAACAATGTGCGTTTAGGAAGCTGTATAATTTATTGACCGTTAAGCTTGTGGCACTGAGTGGAAAACTAGAAGAGAGTTTAGAAGCAACAAAAAAGTGTCTTTGTGTTGGTTAAGCATTTGTTCAGTCAGCTAAAATCTCAAGAGCAGTTGAGAAACAACTAAATGTTCTTCTGATTGCCCAGCTAATTAGCATAATCTAAACAGCTGAAGGTTTAGATTTTTTAATCAGGACATTTACATTGTTTTATAAGGTCATTTAGAGGGGCATCTAATGCACAAAATAACAATTTCTACTGACCAAGCAGCTTTTGGCGAGAAGCTTACAATTAAAGGGACATCTAGGAGCCTTAAGAAACAAAACTCTCTCTTGTGATTGGTTAGTTGATTTGGCAGAAACAACTCAGCATGAGGGGAAGAAATTGTGCTAAAAAGAGATATCTCAAGGGCAGCTGAGAAGCTTCAAAAAAATGTCTCTTCTGATTGGCTACATCATTTGGCACTGACCAATAAGCTTCCAGCACAGAGATCAACATAAAAGAAGACATCCATGTCTCTATGACAAGCAATACACTTATTGGCTAGTTTAATATTTATTTTTATATAATTGAAGAATTTATTTAAAAAAAAACTTTAAAAACATGAAAATAAAATAAATACATTTCGTTTGTCATTGATCAAAACTACTTTAAGGATTTAGATTGTGCTAAAGAGGAACATCTAGAAGCTGGCTAAGAATCAGCAAAACAAAGTATTTTCTGATTGGCTGGTTTATTGCGGTTAATAGACTTGTGGTATAGAGACCATTCTGAACCAGAGATGGGGATCTAAAAGGCATCTGAAATGCAACAGAAGACTCTCTCCTGAGCTGATTGGTCGGTTTGATTTGTAAGTGCCATCATATTAAGGTTCAGAAAGTTTGTCTTGAGTAATATATAGAGTCTCACTGGCATTCAGCATTTTATATAATTTAATAATAATTTTATAATTAAAAAAAAATCAGCTTTGGGTACAGAAATTATAATAAGAGGAACCTAATGAGCATTTAACATATATATATATATATAAAAAAAAGAACTTCTGTTTGCTGATTGGCCAATTGGTCCATTCATAACATAATCAGCATAATGCAATGGGCAGAACTAGAGCATAGGTGAGATTCAACCAAACATCTCTCTTCTAAATGGCCATTTTTGATTCATCATTCACCAATCAGCTTCATCCTTTAAGATTGAACCAAAAGAGGCAGAGAGGACAGCTCACATGTAAAAGAACATGTCCTGATTGGTCAGTTTGGGTGGTTAGCATAGATTGCGCCAAAAGAGAACCATTTAGATGGCCAGTGAGATACAAGAAAAGAACTTAATTAGTCAATTTGATATGCCAGTCAAATTAGCTTGTGGCACAGATTGACATCCAAAGAGTAGCTCTCATTTACAAGTTGCTTTGTAACTCAAATTAAATGTTTAAAAAGGCCACAAAATCAAACAAATACATTTTCTACTTAAACATACAAAGGGACATATAGTACAAATCTTTAATTTCAGAAGCCTTATTTTACATTCGCATTTATTTTTATTTGGCATATATTTGTAACCATTTTCCTCCCCATAGATAATGTTAAAAAATTGGGCCCCAATTATGCTGACCATCAATTGGTTCAGATGGGTGGTTTTTAAGAACTCAGATAAACTTTGTAAAAATTGCAAAGGAGACAATGATCATGACTCGGTTCAGAAGCCTCACAAACTATTTGTTTAATTTGCAACAAAATAAACTTAAAAATACATTGTGAGGAAAACATTTACTAAATAGAAAATATATAAAAAATGGTGAAATCTTTCTCTGATGAGAATAATAATATTAATAATACTTCTTTGACAATTAGGTCTTTTGTCACGTTGGAGGAGAACTCTTCATGCAATGAGCCTCACAAAAATAATGAAAATAAAAATTACTCAAACACATAAAGGCAGTTGTAACAGCACAGAAGACTGCTCAGAATACTGCTGTATGGCTTCAGGAAGCAGCTTCCTCATTAGAGCCTGCTCAGAAGGTCGCTGTTCCCTCTCGCAGGGAAGCTCCCCACATAAACTGTCTTTAACCAGGCAAACAATCTGCTTTCACAGAAAACACAGACAAAACTCTTAGTTTGAGGACAAACTTTTGTTAAACTTCTTTTTTTTCCTTCTTGACATTCTCTCTGGCTCCACAACGGCCATTATTGACCCTCTTCCATCCCAGTGTCCTTCATCTGATCATTCAGAGCCTCTTATTTTCCTTTTCTTCAAGGCCTGTGCCAGTGGCATTGACAAGTCTGTACTGAGAAGAGAGCATCTCTCTCTTTCTCTCTCTTGACTTTCTGTCACAGTTTGATGTCTTGGGACTCTAACATCTTCGCCAGGGTCTTCTTAACCCGGAGGGCTGTGAGGCGACAGGCAGGGTTATGAGCCCAGCACTCCGACATCAGTTTCCCCATCTGCCGTAGACACTGGAGACAAACACGTCCATTTTACATTAGAATCAATTCAATTCAATTATACTTTATTAATCCTGAAGGGAAATTCAAGCAGAACATTTAGGTAAATTAAAAACAATACTCAACAGGCTATAAAGGAATTCAGCGCTCCTTATTAATTAGCATGTCTAAAAACCTACATATTAAATGTATGTTTATGCAACACTTTAATTTCTGAGTACACTGTTCAGCTAAAGAAAAAAAAAATCTGTATTTAGAAATAAGTGGTGACCCAATTAGAAGCATCTATAACCACTATTATAACATAAATGCAACTGATGCATTCATTATTCATTAAAGCCAAGTGCAAAAGTCAAGGAATTTTATTTTATTAACTTTAAACTGAAGTCTGAAAATAAGACACAATTTTTAATTATTTAATTTAAGAGTGACAATTAATAAACAACATATAGAGTACCTCATCACTGCTCCAGTGATTTGCTAACGAGGGTCTTTGCTTCTTAATGCAGACCACCTCCCTCATGTCTTCATACGAAGGGTCAGTGGGAACAACATCATAATAGGGAAGCTGATACTCTTCAACCACACCTGTAGGAAAATAAACAGCCATCTGTCATCATTTACTATAAAACATCTGAATGTATCGCAATGAAAGGTACATAGGTTGGTCTGACCTCCAGAGGTGCAACGCCGCGCCATCTCCCAAAGTATGAGGCCAAAACTGTACATATCAGCCGTGATGAAGGACTGAAAGGTGGTCCTGTTCAGCGTCTCGTTCAGAACTTCAGGTGGCATGTAGCGCTTGGTCCCAACTCGTAGGTTAGGTGGGATGTCTACCTCGTTAGTGTCACTGAAAGGCGCAATGAGAACACAAATATGCTTCAAGATTTGCCTCTTTTTCCTACACTAAACAGCATTAAAGAAAAAGTTCCAGGACTCTATAAAGACGTCTTCTACCTGTTAAACTTGACAGCAAGCCCCAGGTCGGCTATACAGCAGAAGCCGTTCTTTTTCACCAGGATGTTTTTGCTCTTTAGGTCTCTGTGTGCTATAGCAGGTTTCCCCTGTGTGCCGTAGATCTCAGTGTGCAAGTGGCAGAGGCCAGAGATGGAGGAATAGGCCAGTTTCAGCAGAGCGCCGACGTCTAAGGTATTGGACTTGAGGTAGTCGTACAGAGAACCGTTCTCATGGTAGTCTGTAATGAGGTAGAGCTGAGTCCAAGACCCGGTTCCTTTAATATCAGCTGCAATGAAACCTGCAGACAAGACAGGAGTAAGAGGAGAGATCAACAAAACATTGATTTAATATCTGAAGTAAAACTTCTGGCTGCTGATGTCCTACCCAGGATGTTGTCATGCCTCATCAGGAAGGTCTGATAAATTTCTGTCTCTCTAAACCAGCTCTCCTCCTCGGTTGTGAAGAAGACTTTGACAGCCACTCTCTCCCCTCTCCATTTGCCCATCCAGACTTCTCCGTATCGACCTTTTCCGATCTGTTTCACCATCTGAATCTGCTTGGCGATGGTTCGCTGAACCTTTTAACATAAGTGAAAAATGTTACTTTATTTTTCCAAGAAATATTCCTTCATCTTACAGTTTTTTTGTTTTTCTGGTGGTGGGGGGGTGGGAGGGGGATTTAATGTAACAAACTAAAAGAAATTATTCCAAAAAGAACAATATTTTGATCTCTTAAAAATCTTGCCATCTATTAATGATCTCATGTGGCTGAAGAATGTGCCAGAAAAGGTCAACATAAATCTTTTGAATTAGCTTTCAACAAGGCAATTTCTAGCCCAGTTTGAGGTCATTTTCAAGCCACTGAAAGAATATCCTTTATAGGATTATCACATATTTAGCTTCATCGACCCTCTGATTGAGTCTGTCTCAACTGAAGGAGAGCATCCCCACAACGTGTCACTGCCTCTCATGCTTCACGTTGATGTGTGATGCTTATTTTACTAGTTTGCTCTGTTCCCTGCTTGGCTTGTGTCAAACTCCTAGCATGGGTTCTTATTACCATCTTTCAACAATGGCTCTTTTTTTCAACTCCTCCATGAAAGCCACATTTTTTTTAAGCTCACAGCTGCTAATACTACTGTAGTACGTGTTAAAAGGGATTCTTTCCCCTAAGTTGTGGATTTCTACAGATCCTTCAGAGTTACTATAGCCCTCTTGCCTGTTTTTCTGATTAATGCTCTCATTGCATGGTGTATCAAATGTAGTGGGCGAACATGTCATCTATGCTTTATTCAAAGACATCTCGAGATGTTTTTATTTTTTCATACCAGCAGAGGGAGTCCTGATCCAGACCCAGAGCCTGCACTGCGGGAGTACTCTATTAGATCCTTCAGAGTCTCCCCAGGAGGAATGTAAGTCTCATCTTGCTCCAGATCGATACTGTAGGGTGGTCGTGATGTCTGTCGCTTATATCTGCCACGGATAGAGGATGAAGATTTTGGACAAGTGTAAAAAGTTTGTATAAATGTGTTTATTCACACTGCTTGTGCAGGAGAGAAGCTTTATACCTGAAGTAGCAAAAGATGAGAATGCCAAAGAAGAGGCTGCAAATGGTCAATGAAATGAACAACACTTCGTACTGAATGCTGCTGTCCACATATTCTGAAAGAAAAAAAAAGAAAGATGTAAATATTTTATTAAAAATATATTTCTGTCCTTTATTTTAAAATAGTCTGAAGGAAGGTTGGTAAAATTCACTTTGATGAATGAGGGATGACACTCGCTCTTATCAAGTTGAGCATCATTCTAATTGTCTGTGACACCATCCGACTACTCCCCCTTCGACCACTCTCCCCCCACGCTTTCACAGCCTGTTATCGATCATATCCCGTTCCCGAATCCCACTGATCAGGTGTCACAGTGACATCGCTGCACAAACCCCAGAGGCCTGAAGCCACACTGGAGCTCTGGCCTTTCTGCCTCAGTGGTGTCAATCACAAATGCACAAACTGAAGATGCAGCAGAGGCTTAAAAAAAACTTCAAGTTTGCAAGCAAGCTGTAAAAAAAATCTAGCTACTCTGAAATACATCTAAAAAACAGAATATGGTGAGAAGCTCAATATTTTTGTCACATGTTCAAAGTACAGACTTTTTGTCTATTTTTTCATTTTGATTATGATGCCTATGGGATTAAGACCACACAAAAGTCACTGTTTCATAAAGTCACACAACATTACACAAGAAATAAATAAAAGCCACACCTCTGTAACTGCTATATATGTAAATAAATAGAGAAGTATGTTCTTTTCTTCTACTTTTCTTCTAAAAACACAGTTTTGCTCTATTACAAGAAGTCTCAACAAGCCACACTTTATACATGAAACTTTGTAGTTGTACAAAGAAAACATGTAAGAATCCACAATATTTGTATTAGGCATGGTGAGAAATGTACAGAGGTAAAAATATTATCTTGAATGTACTTGCTGAAGCAAAATGGTGGGTGTTTTTGACAAAGACAGAAAGGGAACAAATGTGCGTGTTGGTTTGCCATGGGGTGACAGATGGACATATACCTCACATCCGTCCTCAGGCAAGAAACTCAAGCAGGCCCTGGGGGGAGGCTGTCCTTTTCATTAGAGAGTGAGAAAACACTCTCTGTACCACCTGCCTCTCTCTCCCCCCTCCAGCAACACACTGTGGTTAGTAACAGCTTAAACTGGCAGTGTCCATGACCAACTCAGTGCGGCCCAGAATGTGGCTGTTCTAAAAGCCACTCTCACCTTGGAGTTTGACAGTTTCGCCGTGCGAGATAAACTACCTGATGTGACAAGCGGAGGAAGCGTGGGCCGTAGCTTTCTGTTGCAGAAGTCCTGATCTCTGCAACACTCGACCACTCTCAAAAGGCGCGCATGCCGTGTATCCTTTTGAAAAGACAAACAAAATAACATAGCAGCAGTTGGCATGGGTGAAGAACATTTATAAAATTAATCTACAGTATGATAGAAAAAAATATTAAAAAGAATGTTACAGTGACTTGCAACAGTTCAGGTTCTGTATGATTTTTATATGAAAAATCTGAAATACATGCATTTCTACCTCATGAATCAAAATATATTATAACTGACCCATTATAACTAACCCAGCTGGAGACTAAATTTGACCCAGTCTTTTACCCATATCTAATAAATAGTTCATGCTCAGTCAAATTGCAAGGTTATCATAGAATAGCAACTTACTCAGCTTTTTTTATGACTTTAGTGTAGAAGGAGCTGAATATGAATTTAACTTTAACAGAATGAAAACTTACTTTAAATGTATAAAGTGTATAAAATCCTAGTCATAGATGTAGACAAAGTTAAAGGGGAGGTTAGAGCTTCTGCAATTCACTGTAGTGTCCTTAACATGTCAGGTTTAAATAGAGATAATATCAAATTATTTAATAGTTTTGCATGATTCAGAAACATAAACAAATCAAAACTTACCCTGCACTGAAATTCAGAGCCATCCAGCAGCAAGCAACCTGTGCTGACTACAGCATGACCTCCCTCCTCTTCAACCATGGCAAAGCAGTAACCATTAGTCCTGAAATCAATGCACAAAAACCATTAACTGAACCATCAACAACTGCAAATTTATTTGCATCCTAAATGTATTGAAGTTTGATTATTGAATTTAACAATGTAATAGTGTAACCACAGTAAAACAGTAAACATTAAGTGAAAAAAACGATGATGGTTTTATAATGATCATGACTCAGTTTCAATAGAAACTGTCATAGAGTGTATGGTTAATTCAATCATCTTAATTTTTTTTTTCTAAGTTGTAGAACTCTTTTCACAAAATCAATATTAGAGTATTTACTATCTCGTTATTTTTATCTTCTTTCATCTGTTACATACTAAACTGAAACATTTCTTTTTAATCTTTTAAATAATAATGGATAGGTAGTTTAAACGTGACCTAAAATGTGTGTAATGATAATATATTTAGACTAGTTAGTTGAAATAACATGCAATCAGGCGCAGTCTATAGTAATTTTGCATTTCCTGTGTGTCGGGATGAAGGTGCGCCTACTGCAGCATACTTGCAGGTGTCGTTTTCAGATCCCTCAGGGCACTGAGGATGGCAGTGGCACCGTAGATTGTTCTCAGCCATCACTGTGGCTGTACTGCTGCTCTCCCCTGCTGGCCGGTCCGATCTGGCCTTCCATCCATTCCTCAATAACATGGTGTCCAACAGGTTGGCTGTTTAGGGAGGAAAAATATCACGTTTAGTAAAATTCTAGACTATAACAGATCATAGATAAAGACTGAGAAAGACGTTTATGCTTCATAATTGCTGCATGTATGTCAGTGGCAACAGTAAAGTAAAACAACAGTTAACCCCTTTGATTGTTATGTTTTAGGTGTTACTTTTAAATTTCATAAAAGGTTTTGAAGTTGTTTAATTAATAATAGTATAAATGTCTAATCTGCATAATTGTTTTGTACACTTCAAGTTCAATTCAAATTATTTTAGAACATAATAAAGACCAGATTATTCATAAATGTGACCCTTGAACTGACCTGGGTTGTACTTTACATCTTTACATCTGCATATAAAAAGTTAATTTACTTTAATAATCCAATGAACTTTTAAAAAAAGAAGTCTTTATAGCAAGGTTCTTTACACACAGTGTGTTAACATAGTCTTAATGTTAATATTTAGGATAATGACAGCTTTAAGAGGAAAAAAAGATAAATAGTAGTTGCTGAAATGAACAGAATAACTGCTAAATCCCTGTTGCATTACATCCATCTCTCTTATGAATGGATCTTACCCTGTTTAAATTGAATTATTAAAGTAAAACTAAGTTCTCACTGGCGCATAAATAATTGTGATGCAACTGTATATAAGCATTCTTTTAATTTTATTTACTGTTTTGCTTAAATATCATAAAAAATATATATATTTTCATATATTATTTTCCTTCTGACCTCAGCTGTGAAATTCAGTTTGTCCTTTTTTTTTTTTAATAAACTCCGTTTCAATCATACAAATGACTTTGCAGATATGTAACCAGGATTTTTTTTTTTTCGTTCAACCTTAGCTATATTTTCACCAAATTTCAAAGCTCAAACAGTCAAAATACAGTAGCTGCATTAGACATATGAGCTGGGAGATGTGGATTTCAAACTTTGGTTTTGCTTGATATTGGCTCCGGTGGTTGACAAGGAGGGCGATACGGCAACACCAAGTTCAACATGGCAGCAGAGATAAAACACAGACCAGCTGACTGATTTGGCACCATTATTAAGGTCCTGATCAACCAGCTTTGATTGTCACATTAACTTTTTGATCCACTATGCAAAGGTGCTGCTTATAAGGCTAAGCTTATCTGTAACTCCTAAGACCAAATAAGTTTACCTTAAAAGAGGCTTAATCTTTTAACAAAGAAGAACCCATACAAAAGATTTTTTTTTTTTTTTTTTATACCTGTATGCATCTTTACTAAAATTCCTTGAGGTTAGTTAGCCTATGCTGTTGGTATATGGATTCCAAATATAGTTATCAGCTATGGAGGGAGACCACAAGAGACAAAAGGGAAGGCAGAGAAAACAACCAAGTGTCAAAAGTCTTAAACCAAACAGAAAACAGCAACGTGCATGTAATTCAAAACCTCATTAGCAGTCCATTAGAAGACATCCTCAATGCCCCTAAATGTGTCATCAGCTTGTGTTTCCAAAGTACAGTAAGACATAAACACTTGCATGGACAACAGGTGTCTGCAGAATGAGAAGATTGAGTTTATTATGTCTGAATTAAATTAATTATTCTGTATTTCTTTTCTTTTTTTGCACAACAAAAAAACTGAATAGTGGTTTGGATAAAGGTGTTTTCTAATGTAAAAAATCTAAAAAACATTTAGAAGGCAAAATCAAAGGGACTACAGGATCAGCTGACTGTGCAATATCATAGAAATAACCATACGCCATGTTATTGCATTTTAGGGAATTTTGACTCATAATGTCATGTTTTTGTATAACCCAAAATAAACGTAATTAGCTTAATAGAGAAAAAAAAAGAATACATAATATTCTTATATATATATATAATATATATATTAGGTTTTTATCCGATTACTCTTTGTCAGAATAATTAATAGAATAATTGATAATATAAATAATTGTGAGTCCAGGGATTACTTTTAATAAGTAATTAAACACGTGTGAAAGTAACTGATGACTAAACAACAGCAACTTATAAAACCTCTTAAATGAACAAAGATTAAACGTCATTAACATTATTATTCAAAATTTCTTTGAAAAACAAATTTGTTTTTCCTCTTTCTACAAACTAACTGAAGATGCAGATGGTTCTTCGATACAAACTAAAACGAGTTCTGACAGTGGCTCATCCCCGAGGACGCTTGTGGTCAGAAAGCTGAACAGTTCTGTGCTACACTAGATGGATGCCTTCCTCTCACTGGAACTCTAATTTTCACTCCCTTGTGGTTAATTCTGGTAAGAGCTTTTTATATGCAGCCTAAAGTTTCTGAGGAAAGGAAGGCAGAATCCCCCAGTTATTGATGCAAGTTAAAACTCTGGACTATTGTCAAAGCAAGGAATATGTGAAACATTCAGTATGCACATTTCGCCTTAAGTCTCAGTGATATATAGGAAACACTTCCCTTTTATTACACAGGATGTAACCTAAGCATCAATAGAAAACAGGTGGTTACTAAGCTTCCAGAAATCTATTTGATGAAAGGCTTAATCACAGCATAGTATTATGCAGCTCTTTGGTAAATTTAGCCAAATCTATGTTGATGTTTTTTCTCAGAGGGGAAGTTTGTGGAGAGGCAGATCCTCCTTCAAAGTGACCTTGGTATCTCTACTTTTCAGGTCA